GTTCTTGAACAGTGACTGGTTTCAGATGTTCATGATCATAGCATGACCTGCATGGGAACAGCAGCCCATCTGGAAAGGCTTGTGTTGTCTTAGCTAAACATCTATGCTCTGCATGGCCAAGCTGCCTGAGTAATACAGTCATTGACAGCCGAGGGGTGCTTCATTCTTTCCCATCATTGTGCTAAATCGAGCATTGCAGATCTGTTTTGTGACAAGTGTCCTGACTTGAGAAGTCATGTGTTAAATTGTTGGGAATGCAAAGAGACAGGGAGAATACCAAAAAACTTTTTTTACCTTAAATTCCATAACTTAGTAAGTTAAATGTTTAGGTCCGGTAAGGTGGGGGAGTAGGGAATATTACTTTCACCTTTCTTACCTGCATCCAGAGCAGGAACATTTTGTGCACAAAGGCACATCTTATGTAAGTCCCGGGAGCCATGGGAATAAGGAACTGTTCATAACCCCAAAGTCTTCAGGGCTAGAAAACTGCCCAGTGGCAAACTGACTACCATTCGCTTAGCCGCCCTCTAAAGCTTTGTTTTGCAATAAATGCTGGTATTAATCTAAAGAAAATGATTTATCATCCTCTGTCAAATTTATTTCCAGGAAGCACTGGCATATATGGGAGTGTATATACTCATGTACAGTCATAGTAAGGACTAAGACTTATGGTTAAATTAGCTCCAAGGTTAGAGAAGACTAACAGACTCCATGATTTGAGGGTCAGTTGTTTATGGGAACAGTATTCAATGTGGTTACCATAATTAAATTGGGCTTCAGGGTTGTCTGGCTTTGAAGGCAAAGGCTATTTTCTGTACTACTTTCTTATACTCCCAGGTGCCTGTCCCAATGGGGTCTGTATAGGTGCTCGGTAAATACATGGTGATTGGTTAGGGAAGGAAGAAAAATCCATGTTACAATTGGTTGGGCTGAGACTTTGTGCCCACAATCTTTGGGTTCCAGAGTTGAAGAATCCTTCATTTCCTCTCAATTCTAGTATCATACCCATAGGTGGCATATTTGTTTCACTATCTGGCTCTTATGACAAGGTGCTCTTTATCTTTGGGGTGTGAATAACAAGGAGATACAATTACCTGGGTATCACAATTGGAATAACCACTTAGAAATATCAGAGCAAGTGTAACCAAAGCAGCATGCCAGATTCTAAAGCTTCAGCAACTTGGCCAGAGTGTGATCCAGAGGGCAGCCAGAGCCTTCATCATCTCTGAAGTAGCCTCAGCACATCCTCTGTGGGTGGTTTCCTGGATGTAAGAAATAATAAAGAAGATAGGCCTGGCACAGTGGTTCATGCCTGTAATCCCAGCACTTCTGGAGGCTGAGTTGGGATGATTGCTTGAGCTCAGGATTTCGAGACCAGCCCGGGCAACAAGAAAGGCCTTGTCTCTACAAAAGAAAAAAAAACTAAAAATTAGCCAGACGTGGTGGCAGGAGCCCGTGGTACCAGTTACGCAGGAGTCAGAGGTGGAAGGATCACTTGATCCTCGGAGGTTGAGGCTGTGGTGAGCTCTGTTCATGCTAGTGCATTCTAGCCTTGGTGACATAGTGAGACCCTGTATCAAAAAAAGAAAAAGAAGATAATGGCCAACTTAGGCAACTCGAGGACTGTTGGTTCAGGTTACACTAATCTAGTTATGGAGGATTAAAGGGAGAAAGGAAAGACAAAGCTAAAACCCATCGTGTGAAAAAAAGAAAAAAGAGAAAAAAACTGTCCTATGTGCATTGTGGAACAGGGTTGTCCCTTTATAAGCTTACAGTAAGAATTACTTTTTCTTTTTTGAGGTGGAGTCTGGCTCTCTCACCCAGGCTGGAGTGCAGTGGTGTAATCTCAGCTCACGGCAACCTCTGCCTCCCAGGTTCAAGCAATTCTCCTGCCTCAACCTCCTGAGTAGCTGGGACTACAGGTACACACCACCATGCCCAGCTAATTTTTGTATTTTTGGTAGAGTCAGGGTTTCACCATGTTGGTCAGGCTGTTCTCGAACCCCTGACCTCAGGTGATTCACCTTCCTTGGCATGCCACCACACCCAGCTGAATTACTTTTTCTTTAAGCATGGGCTCCTGAATATTTCCCATATTTTCCTCCTACTGGAATTTATAGAGCCACTGAATGTTAACAATGGATGGGCCCTCACTCATCAATATCTCAATATGTCATTGTAAAATGATTTAATAGGCAGGACCCCTTCCAGTATAAGTAGCAGAAACCAAACTCAAACTAATAACTGAAAAAGGGAATTTAGGCCCGGCAGGGTGGCTCATGCTTGTAATCTTAAAACTTTGGGGGGCTGAGGCAGGTGGACCATTTGAACCCAGGAGTTTGAGACCAGCATGGGCAACATAGCGAGACCCAGTTTCTACAATTTTTTTTTTTTTTTTAATTAGCAGAGCATGGTGGCATGCACCTGTAGTCCCAGCTACTCAGGAGGCTGAGGTGGGAGGATCACTTAAGCCCAGCAGATCAAGGCTACAGTGAGCCATGATCATGCCACTGCACTGCAGCCTGGGTGAGAGAGCAAGATGCTGTTAAAAAAAAGAAGAAGAAGAAGGAATTTATTTATTAACAACTAAAAAATCCAAAGAGATATCTGGTTTACATATGGTTAGATGTAGGAGCTTGAGCCAAGTTTTTAGGATTGTATGTTTCTCCACCTGCTTTCCTTTGTGTTAACTTCATTCTTAAGCGGTGCCTTCCCACACAATTGCAGCAGCTCCAACCCAAGTCCCAGGGCTGACTCTGATTGGCCTGGAGTAGTCAACTCCTGAACCAGTCACTGAGACTGTGGACCCTCAGCTGGACAGGGAGTCAGCAGCACCTGAACCACCTGGACTGAGGGTAGGAGAAAGTGATCCCCAAATGAAAATTGAAATGCTGTTATCAGAAGGGCAGTGGATACAGCGTGGAGGTTGGAGAGGAAAGAAGTCCTCTGTTGGATAAAAGGAGTTCCAAAGATGCATTATTTTTTTCCACAAAGCTTGGGGTTTCCATGGAAAAGACATTGGTACATGAACAGCGAGACGAGTGATTGCTTTTCTCAGTTCTCCCTGTATATTAGTCCATTCTCACACTGCTATGAAGAACTGCCCAAGAATGGATAATTTATAAAGGAAAGAGGTTTATTGACTCACAGTTCCACATGGCTGGGGAGGCCTCAAGAAACTTACAATCATGGTGGAAGGGAAAGCAAACATGTCCTTCTTTGCATGATGGCAGGAAGAAGTGCCAAGCAAAAAGAGAAAAGCTGCTTCTAAAAGCATCAGATCTCATGAGAACATGCTCACTGTCAGGAAAACAGCATGAGGGTACCCTCCCTCATGATTCAATTTCCTACCACCAGATCCTTCCCACGACACATGGGGATTATGGGAACTACAGTTCAAGATGAGATTTGGGTGAGGACACAGCCAAACCATATCACCCTGCCTAAGTTAAAGGCAACAGACCCACACACAGTGAAAAGCAGACCCCATGTGGAGGATTGTATTTTCACATTATATTGACATTCTAACTAGCTCTGGCTCTCAGGGTGAGTTGATTCTGCCCTGAATCTGTGTTGATTATTGGTAGCTGAGGTTCTGAAGTTGTTGCAAAGACACCTGGGGTGTGGCCACCGAGATGTAAATGCAGTAGCATTTCTATTATGTACTCTCATGTGGAGAAGAAAATGCCTCTGGCTTGGCCCCATTTTGAGTGGTGGATCTTAAGGCCAGGACCTTTTTTTTTTTTTTTTTTTTTAAACCAAGGAGTATAGCTAAACCAGCTGCCCCATCTAAGTAAAGGTCTTTGGTAATTTTTCTAGTCCATCTGAGCTGAGCTGGAACAAGTTCTCTTGCCTCCCTAATCTAAATTCTGTGAAGCTTGTGGAGCCACTATTGTATCCCTGGTGCCAGGTGATCAGGATGCAGACAACTAGGACCCTGCCCCAAGGAGGCAGAGAGAAGGGCAGCTTACCGGGGGAGATGGACCATGAAAGAGAAGCCCTCCACCATGTCCCAAAGCTCCTCCTGTAGCCTCAGTTCACACCCTGACCTATCACCCCACCCCATTCTCTTTTATAGCTTCCAGGTTTGCACGGACACATGTGGAGAGGCAGTAGAGCAAAGCCTACCACACATGGGCTCTGGAGTCTACCTGGGTTTAAGCCCAGGCTCCACTCTGTTCCAGCTGTTTGATCTTGGGCAAACAATCGATCTTCTCTGTGCCTCAGTTTCCTTATTGTTAAAATCTGACTAATAATACTCCACAGAATTGTTGTAGATAGACATGAGAGTTGTTTCTGTTTGAACTGTTCCCTGATAAGATAGAAACAGGTTGCTGTTCACATAAAGAGGTTGCTGTGCCCATTCTCTATTCACCATCTTTGAAGAGTGTTAATTATGCTATCATTTGTACTTTGGGCTGTGCTAGAGACCAGTGGGAGGGATCGTGAGCTCAGGAGCTTTCCATTTAAGCCCCAGACAGACAAACGGATAAATCGCAAAAGGAAAAGGCAAGATCAGTAGCACAGAGTAGAATGGGAGCACAGGAGTGGTCTTCATGTGAATGTCACATGTATAATTTATTCATTCTCTCTTGCAGTAGTAGTTACAGAGTGCCTATTTTATACCAGTCATTGTGTAGAAGTTCTGGGCATATGATCAGCCAGATGGGCCTCTGGCCAAAAAGAACTCATAGTTTATTTGGGAGCTAGATGAATAAACACAGTTATGGTCCAGTGCGGTTAGTGTGACAGTGGGATCAGCATAAGATCCTATTCTAAATTGGAAGTGTATGTCAGGGCGGCTTCCTGGAGGAGGTGTTGTTTAAGCCAGATCCCCAAAGGAGCAGAAGTTAGGCAGGCAGAGTGAGGACACGAGCATGAAAGGTGTTCTGGGCAGAGGGAATAGCCTGTGCAAAGGCCTGCAGGTGATTGAGTGTACAGTGCATTTCATCGTGGAGTCTTGGCTGTGGAGCAAACTGAATGTGCTGCTGTCATTGCAGGGATATGGAGAAGGTGGAGCGGCAGGCTGTCCCCCAGGCCAACCACACAGAGTCCTGTCACGAATGTGGCCGGGTGGGACCCGGACATACGAGAGATTGTTCTCATCGTGGCCATGATGACACTGTCAACTTCGAGAGGCAGGAGCAGGAGGGAGAGCAGTACCGTTCCCAGAGGGACCCGCTGGAGGGCAAGCGGGACCGGAGCAAGGCCAGGTCTCCATACTCGCCGGCTGAGGAGGATGCCTTGTTTATGGATTTACCCAGTGGCCCAAGAGGCCAGCAGGCACAGCCCCAACGGGCAGAGAAGAATGGAATGTTGCCTGCCTCATATGGCCCAGGAGAACAGAATGGGACTGGCGGGTACCAGCGGGCCTTTCCTCCCAGGACCAACCCTGAAAAACACAGCCAAAGGAAGAGCAATCTGGCCCAGGTGGAGCACTGGGCAAGGGCCCAGAAGGGGGACAGCAGGAGGTGAGTAATAGACTCAGGATCACTGCTTATAATGAGTGCAATAATGTAGTGGCAATAGCTGTCATTTAGCGAGCACTTGCTGTGTAAGGGCGGCCTTAAACTCTTTACCACCATTACCTACGTAAATCCCTGTAACAACCCTGCAAGAAAGGGTGATATTCCTTGACAGAAACTGAGGCTTGGAGAAGTCAAGGAACCTGCCCACAGCACACAGGTGGTAAGGCCAGAGTTCAGTCCTGGGTCTGTGAGCCTCCAAGGCCCCCACGCGATTACACCAGAGTCTTTTCTACTCCTCAGAGAATGCCTTGAGACATTCAGCATGTAAATGATAACCAGTCTTCTCCTCTTTTGCTGCTACTTCTCTACATCCAAGAAATGTTTATAGAAACTAGAGTGAGTAGAGATTCATTTTTAATTCCAGGCACATACAGAAGTGCATCGGCACTGTTGACATTGGGCTTTATCAGATACATTCCTTCAAGAAGATTTTAATTATTTAGAAGGCATGCATATCTTGCTATTTGCCAAGCACTGTCTGTATTTTATTATAATTTCAGATTAATTAGGACACATTTCTGAATGTGAAGAATTCAGGGTCACTAGCTTCCCTGTTGTCCCCAGAAGCCACTGTGCTTTGTCTTCATTATGAAAGACGTGACAGATTTCACTCACTATTTTCAGGCTTCTAAACAAATCACTGACAAGAGAGGAGATAGCAAAGCCAATGTGCATTCAGAGAGCTCCCCAGGGATTGCAGTGGATGTGCCAGCATCCAGACCAAGTCTGCCACAGGCCTGATAACATGCTCTGAAAGGTCACACTTCCTTCTCCCTGTTGGCCAGGCCCAAGCTTTCTACCTGTGGATTCTGGAGGTGGTCAGTGCTCCTAGGGGAATAGCCTAGTCCTGTTTTCAAGTATGTGGGTGTGTTGTTCATATGTAGGTTGCTGTAGCCTCTTTAATCTGGTCCAGCTGGGCAGTTGTGAGAGTGGATGGTGGAAAAATCACAATGGAGCCTTCCTAAGTAACTGATAGACATTGTTGTGGAGCAGACTAGAAGAGAAGGCCTGTTATGCTGTAGCTAAGACACCTTCCCATTCCCAACTGGGAATGACCAGGTGTCAATTCTGTTTGTTCACATTTTGTATCTTATTAATAAAACAGAAAGCTACTGTCTGAGGACACAGGGAAGGGAAGCTGCTCTTCTTGGTGCTGACCTAAGTAGCCCCCTGGTAGGTGGTTGTAAGATGACCTTACTGCTGAGCGAGGTTGGAAAGTTGGCAGGGGTAATGTAATGTGGGTCCTCATTCTCCAAAGTAAGGCATTTGAATTTTATTTGAAAAAGCAATAGGGAACCACTGGAAGGTTTTAAGCAGGTAAGTGATGTGATCTGATGAATATTTCATGAAGAAGGTAAGAGCCTAGGAAGGAGGCTATTGCAGTAGTCCATGAGGGTGACAATGGAAATAGGATGAATAAACCAATTTGAGATACATTTTGGAGGTTGAAACAGCAAAGGTTGTAAGTGAATTCGAATGCAGGATGAGGGAAACAACAAGGATGATGTGTAGAATTTTGAAAACTTTGTTTAATTTTTGTGGATACATAGTAGGTACATGTATTTATGGGTATATGAGATCTTTTGATACAGGCATGCAATATGTAATAATCAAAACAGGGTAACTGGGGTGTCCATCACCTCGGGCAATTTATCATTTCTTTGTGTTATAAGCATTCAATTGTACCCTTTTAGTTATTTTTTATTTTTTAAATTAAGATAAAGATGTAATCTTGCTACGTTGACCAGACTGGATTCGAACTTCTGGCTTCAAGCAATCCTCCCATCTTGGCCTCCCAAAGTGCTGAGATTATAGGCATGACCCACTGCACCTGACCCCTTTTTAGTTATTTTTAAATGTACAATAAATTGTTGTTGACTATAATCATCCTGCTATGCTATCAAATACTAGCTCTTACTGATTCTATCTAACTATATTTTTGTACCCATTAAGCATCCCTACTCCCCCCTGCCCACTACCCTTCCCAGCCTCTGGTAACCATCATTCTACTCTCTATCTCCATGAGTTCAATTGTTTTAATTTTTAGCTCCCACAAATGAGTGAGAACATGCAAAGTTTGTCTTTCTGTGCCTGGCTTATTTCACTTAACATAATGTCCCCGAGTTCCATCTATGTTGTTGCAAATGACAGGATTTCATTCTTTTTTATGGCTGAACAGTACTCCATTGAGTATAAGTACCACATTTTGCTTATCCATTCATCTGCTGATGGACACTTAGGTTGCTTCCAAATCTTGGCTATTGTGAATAATGCTACAATAAACAGACCTAGAGAATTTTGACTTGAGCAACTGGGTGGTTACTGAGATGGGGAAGGATAAGGAAGGAACAAGTTGGAGGAAATCAGGATTTCCATTTTGGACATGTAAGTAGGGAGTTAGAGTTCTGGACATGGGTGGAGTGGAGTTAGCATTCAGGTTTGGCTTGGTTAATAGGTAGATATGGTGCTGTGCAGCAGATATAAGCATAGGTAAGAGACATGAGCTTGATGAGGAATGTGGTCCTTTTGGAGTGTCCAGGTAGAAATGACCAGGAGGCTATAGGGAATGTGGGTACAGGCTGTAGAGGGATTCTAGAGTCATTGCCTTAGAGATGGTAACTAATGCCCTGGCAGTAGTTGAGATTAACCAGGGTGGAATGCTTAGAGCCATGTTTCTTAATCCTATCTGCATGGTTTGATCATTTGAGGCCCAACCCCAGAGATTTTGATATAGTTGGTCTGGGGTGAGGTCAAGCCATCAGTATGTTTTCAAAGCTCCTTAGGTTGGCCAGGTATGCTGGTTGATGCCTATAATCCCAGCACTTTGGGAGGCTGAGGTGGTAGGATCGCTTGAGTCCAGAAGTTTGAAACCAACCTGGGCAACATAGCAAGACACCATCTCTACCAAAAAAAATTTTTTTTATTTTTTAAGTTACCTGGATGTGGTGGCATGCACCTGTGGTCCCAGCTTCTTGGGAGGCTAAGGCGGGATGATCACTTGAGCCCATGAGTTCAAGGCTGCAATGAGTTATGACTGTACCACTGCACTCCAGCCTGGGTGACAGAGCAAAAACCTGTCTCCAAAAAATAAATAATAAATAAATAATACATACATACAACTCCCTAGGTGATTCTAGTGCACGTCCACAGTCAAGAAACTGTTGCTAGGCTGTACATTGGAATCACCTAGAGAGTTTCAACATTTGGTGAGGCCTTAGTCCCCTGAGCAGAAATCTGACTCCATTGGTCTGGGTTGCAGCCTGGACATAAGGTTTTTAGGAAGCACATTTTCCCCCGTCCCTCCTCCCACAGTGATCTAATGGGCAGCCGGGACTAAGAATCCTCAACTGAGAGAGCACAGTCGCAGAGGGCCAACAACAGAACACTGAGGACCCCCAGCCTAAGGGTCAGGCAAAAACTAAGTCACTTGAAGGAGGTGAGGAGAAGATGGGGGAGGAAAACTGGAGGTTCTGTGGGGGAGAGTTTCAGCTGGAAGGAGTCCAGGCAGCAGTGCACGGTGCTGCAGGTAAGGACTTCCACCTGGCTGTGGTGCCGCCTTTCCTTTTTTTTTGTTTTTGTTTTTTTTTTCTACCAAAAGCAGATACTTGAGACGTAGTACCTTTCAAGGAGGCTGAGCACCCCTGAAGGAAAGTCCAGAACGTGGCGGGTCTTTTGCTCGGTAGCAGAAACCCTTTTTCCACTGAGCTGCTTGAGGGGCTTAGATGGGCAAACCTGAATTGCCATCCTTAATAGAGCTACAGTGTCAAAGTTAGCTCAGGAGGCAGAGTAAAAGGAGGCATTGAAATCAGTAAGACGGCATGGCCAGTGAGAAATCCTTCGTGGCAGGGGCACAGAAAAAACTGTCAAAAGCTGGGTGACTGATATGCAGTGATAAGTTGTCAGTTATGAAATGTCTCTACATAACTGCTCCAGTAGCCTGTAAACCATGTTATTCTACTACACATAATGGCCTGAATTTGAGAGTTGGGAGTGGGGTGTGCATCAGAGACCTAAAGAATGAGAAGTTTACAGGGAAGTAAGAGGTGGGTGGGGAGGGCACAGGACTTTCCCTGGGATGCAAGATGGGGATTTGAGCCATTCTTATCTAAGGGGCAGAGAGACATCAGGTCTGTAGAGGAGAACAGCTCATTGGCTTTGGAGGTCACTGAGCACACAGTGAGAGGAATTTCATTCTAGTAGGGGAAGCAGATCTCAATGGGCTAGAAAGTGAATAAAAGTGAAGAACTGAAGACAGAAGATAGAACAGAAAATGCTGTCAGTCTTTAAGTGAGCAAAGTGTCTCCGTCTCTGATCATTCTCTTGTATTTTAAAAGGCCTGCCTCTTATAGTCCCAGGTATTTTTTTTCTTAAAGATATATTTGTAGTCTCTTACAGTAAGTCATAATAGATCTGGCTGCTGAATAAAGGAACCTCCTCCATTTTCCATTTGAAAATATGTGAGATAGATATCTCTGTTTTGCATATCATGAAGACTGCTAATCTCATTAGACTGAGCACATTAAGACATTGGGAGGAGGGTTATTTGAACTGCAATATGATCCTGTATTTTTGGCTTTAAACCAACAGGGAATTATTTCTAATGGGAGATACATATTTCACATCATTAAACTTTTTTAGAATATGGTTTGTGGGAGACAGACTGACATACTCCTAGAATCTTACTGTATTTTAAGAGCTTGTTTTGAAATTTTAGGCTTTCATTTTCCCACCCTGACCTCCCAGTGTTTAACGTAATGCATACTTGTAAAATAGAAAGGTTGGGGTGGGGAATAGAGTTAGGATCAGGAGATTCAAACACTACAGTATAGAACAGAGTAGAAAGTGGGAGTCCTGTGTGATTGGAAGTTAGGTTGAGGAACATCTGCTGAGTAAAGTATAATAATTGGTCATAAAAAATGATACTGCATTCCCACATGACCATTTCTGTAGTGGCTGTATCAGAATATCTTGTTTAGTGCCTGTTCAGTGACAGGGAGGCCCTGTGGCCACAGAGCATGGTGTGAGGAGACCTTGAGCCCAGTTTTTGGGTAAGACTGGAGGTTGGGGGGCCAGCAAATGGATCTGCTGTTAGGGGCAAAGCTACTCTGGAAGCTCCCACTTGCTCCCATGGGGTCTATACCTCAGCCACAGTACCACCTCCTCCTGTGTTCCTCCTCCATAGTCAGTTACCTTGTTTTGGCCCCTGGAGCCAGGGCTCACCATTGTACCGGTACCTTGGGGTCACTCCGAAATGGCAGACTATGTGTAAATGGAGGGTACAGCTTAGAGGATAAGCTCGGGGATTTGGGGTGCTGCTAGCGGGGCAGTGGAGAGGTGAGGGTGGACTCTGACCTTCCAGGCACTGTAGGCAGGCAAGGGAGTGAGCTGCAGAGCCAGCCGGGAAGGGCGTATGGGTGGGAGCACGGCTCTGAAATGCTTTGCATAGTTTGCATTTTGCTTCTGACAGAATGAACAATGGTTAGTCAAGTCCCGAACTCCCCAGAGGAAGCCTCCAGCCTGGTTTCCGCCACCGCTACCACCTCTGTTTTGAGGATTCAGGCACTGCCCCGTCTCAGAGGCACATTTGTGTCTAACTTTGGGAAATCAATAGCAAACCCTGCCACCTAGTGACAGGCTGACTCACTTGGCAGGCGCGACAAGTAGGTTGAAGAGATCTTAAAGTTATCTCCTGCAATGGCAAAGATAGCTTTATTTGAATGACAACTATTTCAAATCCTCACAGCAATTTTCAAAATGGTTCTTACTATCCCCATTTTGTAATAAGGAAAGTGAGACTTAGAGGGCTTGGATGATACTTGCCTGAAGTCATATAGCTAAAGTGATTAAATGAGTTGAGTTTTAAAACAATTAGAACAGTTTCTCAAACTTTACAGAGCACTAGAATCTCCTGGAGGGCTTGTTAAGACACTGATGCCTGGGCGCCATCCCCTGATTAGGTAGGTCTGAGGTGGGGCTGATAACAAGCATTTTAAAAATATATCTTATTTTTAATTGACAAATAATGATTATATGTATGGGATAGATGTGGTGTTTTAATATATGTATACATTGTGAAATGATTACATCAAACCAATTGACATATTCATCACCTTATCTGCTTATTCTTTTTGGTGATAAGAACATTTAAAATCTACTTTTAGTAATTTTGAAATATACATTATTATTAACCATTGTCACTATGCCTGTGCTGTAGGTCACCAGAACTTATTCCTCCTAACTGAAACTTTGCACCCTTGGACCAACAGCTCCTCTTCCATCTCTCTTATCCCTCCCAAACCTCTGGTAACCACCTCTCTACTTTGTTCTTCTATGAGTTTGACCTTTTTAGATCCCACATATAAGTGAGGTCATACACAGTATTTGTCTTTCCATGCCTGGCTTATTTCATTAACTTGCATTTTTAACAAGTCCCCAGGTGGTGCTGATGCTGGTGGCACACAGGCCACACTTTGAGTAGTGTTGGCTTGGAACAATGTCTGCAACAATGTCAGCACCAAATAAATGTTAGATAAAATTGATAGGTGAAGGCGGAGTCAGAATTGACCTCAAGCCTGTCTGACTATAAAACTTGTTTTCTTTTTACAACATCATGCTGCCTCTCAGGCTTAGTAAAATTCCATACTTCGTCCCTTGCTTAATTTTTTTTCCTTCTCAGAAAATAAAGTGGAGGCTGGGCACGGTAGCTCATGCCTGTAATCCCAGCACTTTGATAGGCTAAGGCAGGCAGATCTCTTGAGGTCAGGAGTTCAAGACCAGCCTGGCCAACATGGTGAAACCCTGCTTCCACTAAAAATACAAAAATTAGCCAGGCATGGTGGTGCACACCTGTAGTCCCAGCTACTCAGAAGGCTGAGGCAGGAGAATCCCTTAAACCCGGGAGGTGGAGGTTGCAGTGAGCAGAGATTGCACCACTGCACTCCAGCCTGGGCAAAAGAGCAAGAATCTGTCTCAAAAAAGAAAGAAAATAAGATGCCTAGTTGGTGGTAGTTTTTGAAATCATATCCAGCTTTGTGTGCTGGAGTGTTTATTGAAGGGCTAATTATGCATAGGACTTTCTTAGACTGTGGACAATACCATGGTCTGAAACACAGCTCCTGTCTTTCAAGAATTTTCACCTTGGCCTGGGAAAACATGTCTTGCAAGTATGAAAAGATCACATCAATATAGGACCTTGGAAAAGTTACAGGCAGTGTGATAACTAGGTCAAACAGAGCTGGATCACTGAGGGCTGTGGCACTGCAGAAGGTCCACATGGGGAAGGCATGGGCCAGCATCCTGGAGAATGAGTAAGACTTGGGTAAATAGAGCAAGGGGAGACCATCCAGGTAGGGGGAGGGAAGAACAGTGTTATAAGAGTAAGGAGGGACAGGAAGGGTACACACGTTAGTGAAGGACCTTCTGTGTATCAGACATGGAGATTGCATTTCCTAACCTGTCTCATTGATTCCTCAGAAGAGCCTTACGAGGCAGGTAATACTGTCCTCATGTTAGAAGTAAGGAAATGGAAGTTCAGAGTCAGGTAAGCTGCCTAGGGTCACAAAGCCAGCAAGTATAAAGCTCGGCTTCAAACCCAGGTTAGACTCCTACCTTTCCTTTTTCCACTGCAAGATATTGCTCAGGTGTGGAGGAGGCTGGGCCAGGACTAGGGTGGGGCTGACTGTCAGGCACCAGCACGTGCAGGGGTGACCCTGAGATGGAGTACTTCCTTCAGTTTTGGGCCCTAGGCATTTGGCGTGGCCCTGGTAGGAAGAGCAGTGAGAAAATAGCAGGCCTGCAAGGTGGGTTGAGGTCAGCTGCTAGCGAGCTGTGAGTACCAGGCTGAGGAGTTTAGACTTTATTTCACAAGTGACAAGGAGCCATGGAAATTTTTGAAATAGGGAACTGATTTGATCAGAGCACTTGACTGTGGACAAAGTAGAAACCAGTTAGGAGCATCTCAAAGTTATCTGGAGGGAGATAATTAATCAGTATCTGGTCTAGAATAGTCCAGAAAAAAGAGAACTGATGCCAGCTACTTCCTTTATGAACCTCCAGAACTTGGTGCTAAGGATACCAAGCAGAGAGAAAATCTTGGTAACCTGGAGAATTGTGAGGCCTTTTCTATAAATATGCACAGCCGTGGAAAGAGCTGACTGCTGGCAGTGGAGAGAGAAGGAAAAGCCAGGTTTAATCACATTGCACTCCAATTGATGGGCATGGGGTAGCCAAGTTGTCCTGGCAGAGGAAGTTGACAGAGAAAAATGGTTTTGGAGTTGTCTGCAAAAAGGGGAAGTGACTGAAGTCCTGGATGTCAGCCTTGATCATTCTTTTGGGGTTCTCATAGGACTCTCCCACATGCCCAGCTTTGTGGGTTTACTTAGGTATATTCCCCAAAGCCTGGCAGAACCCTCACTTGGTGGCCTGACGTGTTCTTACCCTTTCTTCTCAGTCTTCCCTTGGACCAGACGCTTCCTCGCCAGGGTCCTGGCCAATCCCTGTCCTTCCCAGAAAACTACCAGACTCTTCCCAGGAGCACCCGACACCCCTCGGGGGGCTCCTCGCCACCTCCCCGAAACCTGCCAAGTGACTACAAGTACGCGCAGGACCGAGCCAGCCACCTGAAGATGTCGAGTGAAGAGCGCCGGGCGCACCGGGATGGCACCGTGTGGCAGCTCTATGAGTGGCAGCAGCGCCAGCAGTTCCGGCACGGCAGCCCCACGGCACCTATCTGCCTCGGCTCCCCAGAGTTCACTGACCAGGGCCGGAGCAGGAGCATGCTAGAGGTGCCCCGCTCCATCTCTGTGCCTCCATCTCCCTCGGACATCCCTCCCCCGGGACCCCCAAGGGTCTTCCCACCCCGGCGGCCACACACACCAGCAGAACGAGTCACAGTGAAGCCACCGGACCAGAGGAGGAGTGTGGACATCTCACTGGGGGATTCTCCAAGGAAGGCACGGGGCCACGCTGTCAAGGTGAGGCTCGAGAAGCTCTGCCAGGCTGCTGGGTCAGCGTGAGGGTGCCAGGAGCCTTGCCTGGTTTGAACACAAATTTGAGTAATTTGGGATAATAATGATAGCTAATACTTAGGCAGTACATTTTAATAATAGATGCCAGGCACAGTTCCCAAAGGCTTCGCTTTAAATTCTCACCACAACCCTGTGAGGTAGGTGCTATGTTTATGCCCATTTCAAAGATGAGAACTCGGCCGGGCGCGGTGGCTCACGCCTGTAATCCCAGCACTTTGGGAGGCCAAGGCGGGCGGATCACAAGGTCAGGAGATCGAGACCACGGTGAAACCCCGTCTCTACTAAAAATACAAAAAATTAGCCGGGTGCGGTTGTGGGCGCCTGTAGTCCCAGCTACTCGGGAGGCTGAGGCAGGAGAATGGCGTGAACCCGGGAGGCGGAGCTTGCAGTGAGCCGAGATCGTGCCACTGTACTCCAGCCTGGGCGAAAGAGCGAGACTCCGTCTCAAAAAAAAAAAAAAAAAAAAAAAAAGATGAGAACTCTGAGGCGCGGAGAGACAAAGTAACTTGCAGGGGGTCACACAACTACAAGTCAGCTTCCTTGCAGCTTGAAAGGCAGGAAAAGACATGTGTCCAGTCAGTTAAACTATTTATAACAACCCAGCTTAAGTTTTCACTTTCCAAGGGCTTTCACCGTTTAGTGTTCTAACCGTAAGAGTAAGATACGTGTGCTCATTTCATAGATGAGGAGTCTGGGGCTCAGAGGGGACCCAGGTGGCATGGGGCAGGCTGCCCTGGGAGTGGGTGGCAGAGGTTTGGGCTCCAGTGTGACTTCTTGTCTTCCCACTTGCAGAACTCGTCTCACGTGGACCGACGCTCCATGCCCTCCATGGGTTACATGACCCACACCGTCAGTGCTCCCAGTTTACATGGAAAATCGGTAAGGTGAATGACAAGACACAGCCTGCAATGCCCTATCTCATCAACGTTTTCCTTCCTCTGAGTCAGTACAATGCAGTCCAGAGGGCAGCTATCAACTCCCATTTTAGAGATGAGGAAACTGAGACTCAGAGAAGTCGAATGACTTGCTTAGGGTCACCTGGCTGTCACTGGGTCCCCAATGAAGGGGAAGAGCTTGTGGGGGAATGTAGGGGAATGTTAGGCTTATCTCCTCTTTCAAGCTGAATTTTGCCATAAATGTTTTCCAGCTACTCACCTTTTTCCGCAGGTAGTGCCTCTCCTCTCTTCCCTGATCTTTGATTAATTAATTAGTTAACTCTATCTTCAAAGCTTGAGTCTGAGACCAGGCATGGTGGTTCATACCTGCAATCCTAGCACTTTGGGAGACCGAGGTGGGTGGATCACTTGAGGCCAGGAGTTCAAGACCAGCCTCGCAAACATGGCGAAACCCCATCTCTACTAAAAATACAAAAATTAGCTGGGTGTGTTGGTATACTCCTGTGATCCCAGGTATTCGGAAGGCTGAGATACGAGAACTCAGGAGGTGGAGTTTGCAGTGAGCCAAAATCATGCTCACGCTGCTGCACTCCATCCTGAGTGACAGAGCAAGACTGTCTCAAAGCAGAAGAAAAAAAAAAAGCTTGGGTCTGGGTGAGGTTGCACTGTTGGTTGTTGCTTTCCTGAAAAAACAACTTCCTGAAGCCCTTTTACTGCCAGTGCTTTTATTTGTCCTAATGACAGAATTAACGCAGTAATTGCTTAATGGTGTCACATCAGTGCTGTCCTGGCACTGACACCAGGGTGAAGAGTGTAATTCTAGCAGCATGCTCCTGTGGTGCTAACTTCCTTGTGCTGTGTCTACACACCTGCAGCTGGAGGAGCTCTCGTTGCTTCTCACCCGGTTAAGGCGGCACCAGGCCAAGTTAGCCAGTGTGCGAAATTTCGCCATCGGCCAGTTACTGCAGCACCAGCTGACCTTTCCCACCTGCCAGGTCAGCACTGGTGGGCTTCTCTCAGGGCCGGGGGCAGGGAGTGACATGCTGGCTCGTGTTCGCTCGTGCCCATGCTCTGATCTGTCTCTGCTGTCTGCCTCTCCCTTGTTCGCTGCCTGTTTGCTTCTGGATGCTACTGCCAGATACTCTGTGGTGGTGGAGGCCGAGCCTACCCTGCTGGCACTGGGGAGGGGGACTGCATGTGGTGTAGGGGTCCTAAACTGTCGCTTCTCTGGCTGTAAGTAGTGACTGCCAGGCTGATGTGTGGTCACGTTCAAAGGGCTATGCTGGCTGACAGCCTTGTTGCCCCTGTGGCCACTCCTGGGGATGTGGAAAGGCACGTATGCGTCAGCCTGGAGGGAGATGCAGGGTACCCTCTCTTATCTGGATGGTGCCCTGCTGCCTCACAGAGCATCTTCTCATCTCATATCCTGCTAAGCCTCACAGTAAGCTGGAAGAGGTTAGTTAGGAGAGGAGTCAGGACCACACACAAGGCAAGTGGAACCAGAAGGGGAAGTGACTTGCTCAGGATCCCTCAGCTAGAAGCATGCAGGCTGCAGCCAAAATCCAAGACCTGCATGACACAATGTTCTAAACTGTTGCAAAAACATTGGGCTTTGCAAGCAAACTTCTCAAGAACTGGCTAGGGGGCTGCCCTCCCGGGTATCTTGAGCAGAAAGATTAAAGAAAAGGATTCCTCCCTGGGGGTTGTCCTCAGGCAGGAATAGGTTCAGCCAATGAGGCTGGTCCTCCAGGCTGTACAGAGGTAGGCAGGGGACAGATGAGGAGGGTGACAGGACTGTTACCTTCCTTCCTTGTTCTGTTTCAGTGAGTTATGAGAGATTTAGGAAATGTATTCAGAAAAATGAATGTCAGTGCAAAAACTATCATCGGTTGTGAATCTAAGTGATCTTGAATAACCTTCTGCTCTGTCTCACTCCTGTAGCAAGTGTGTAGGGACTGAGCTGTTTGGGAAGAATGGATGGGTAAGGGATTAGTTTAGGGACACAAGACCTTGCAAGCCACTAGTGCTCCTGACAGTTGTCCCCCAGGCATTCCCATGCTTAAGAGCACTGCCTCAACTCTTTGTGTGGTTTTTCTGTGTGACTGTCTTACCTCAGAGCTGTAAGCAAAGGCCACCTGCCCCAGCTCTGGCTTGCTTGGCTGGGACCCTCTTAGTCTGCTGAGAAGATGGTGCCTGGATTATTTTTCTTGAGCTTTCACAGCTCCTCTGCCTCACGGTTAGCTTCTGTGATCTGCTACACGGGAAAGCATAAGTTTTAGGAAATCAAAGAGTCTTTTTCTTATTTTCACTGTTTCTGGTAATTATACTGAAGAGCTTGATAGATTGTCAGAGATGCCACAAACAGATGGGTCTGACCTTGCACCTGTCTCAAGTAGCTCCTGATGTGGCTACACTGGCTCCATGCTGAGCAAAAATAACCAAACTTGCAGGAAATTTCCATCAGTTGCTCGTGGTTATTCTGGAAACCAAGGTCATATTGGGACCTCCTGGGTCACCCAGGCCATCTCCCTGCCTCTTCTTGGCATCTGCCCACACCAATGAGCTTCATCTTCATGCATGTGAAGTGATCCAGACCAAAGGTTTGATGGATGGATTTGGAACAATGATGACTGATGTGCTGTAGATCAGGTGTGGCATGTGCTTCTCCGGGTGGACCTCCCAGGTCTATCTTGGGAGCACAACACTGCCTCAGCTGCCCTAGCCCTGGGGTAGGATCCTCCCTGCCAAACTTCCCCGAGCCAGTGGGGGACAAGCTGACTTTCCCCACAGTGACCTGCAAGGTCCGCCTTGCTGAAAGAGGGCTCTCAGCTGCACCAAGACGTTTGTGCTTCCTCTGTGGCCCCTGATGTGTTGGTCTGCTGTGGTTCCTTGTTCCGAAAACTGCACCATACAAATAATGCACATGGGAAACCTCCAGGTATGGAAACTCTTGGTGTTCGTAACTGTGTTTTTCCCTCTCTGCTTCATTTGAAGGCTGATGACACCTACCTCCAGCTGAAGAAAGACCTGGAGTACCTGGATCTAAAGGTGAGTGATATCAGGGTTCCTGCCTTCCTCGCATACTCACCTTTCCAAGAGTGCCACCTCACTGGAGCCAAGCCCAAAGCCAAAGGCCAGACAGGTCTTATCCAATCTGAATTCTAAATCAAGATGTCTCCCATCTTGAATCAGAAGAATTTTATTTCTTACAGTCTCATACTCTGCCTTTTTTCAGTTTCTTGTGAATTTTGGTGTGAGGTCCCTGGCTTACAGAATGAAGGCACGAGACCTTGATCTCTTCCTTCTTTTGGTCAGAACCAAAAGGTCCCTCCAAAAGCAACCAGTTGCTTCTTCAGAGTCTCCAGTGGGGGCAGGGGTGTATGTTTGGTTCACTAATGTGGGTTTTCAGCCACAAGTGGTATGGTGGGTTCTTTGGTTCTGTTGCTAGGGTAGCAGGCTCCACATGGAATCGCATGGCTTTGAGGCTCACCAGTAGTCTCCCATCTCAGTTTAGGAGAAGAAGGCTGGGCCCCTCCCTGTAGGTGATAAGGCTTCAGGCTCTAAATTAGCTTTCTCAGCACAGAGAGAGCCGAGAAAACTCCTGTAGAGAAGGCAAAAGGCATTCTGCCTGGAAGAGAGCCCTATTGTTCCCTTCCCACAGTTCTCTGAAAGCTCCCACTGTGAAAGCACTTCTTACGCCTAAGCCGTGAAATAGACTGGAGGAATGTGACCTTTAGTTAGCTGTGGGTCTGAAAAGGTGGGTGAGGGGCCATGGGACACTCAGGCGACTGCCACGAGGGGCGGCATGCCTCCCTACAGTCTCCAGTGTACCTGGCTTGGGATATTTTTAATTCGGGGATCTTCATCCAGCCTCATAGAAGCAGGCGTATGAACGTCAGGTCTGAAGGAAGAAGACGGAAAGGGGGTCTCCCCATAATGAAAGGAGATCAGGGCCTTTGATCAGAAATCAGCCAGTGCAATTCTGTGTCTGTTGAACACTTGCTGTGTATGCAGATGACATGGGGAGATGCAGAAGAAAAATTGAGTCTGTCTGGTCTTGAGATACTTCCAGATAGTCTTGGGTTGGTGAAAGAAATTATCCCCAAATAACAGACTCCTCTACAATGACTAGGCAAAGATCTGTTTGGCCTGGTTCTCAGAGCTGAGATGGTGAGAATCTCTGTGGGTTACAACACTGGAGAGGCTTCTGGGAGGAGGTGGCATGTGTTTGAAGCCTTGAAGAGCCAGGGGGGCTGGGGTTGGTTGAGATTTAAAGGGTAGGAACAGTGAGAGCCAAGGAGAGCCAGGGCACAGTGGTTGTGGCCAGGGCAGCAGAGGGAGGTGGCGCTAGGTCATGCAGGCTTTTGACTCTATCCTAGGCTTTAGGAAAGAAGGTGGGTGCCATGAGCAAAAAGACCTGGCTTTAGCATGTGAGGAGAACAAGGAGCTTTCTCTCAAGGCCAGGAGGTTTTCTAACTCATGTGACAGTCAGGTCACACAGAGCTTTAGGGACTGCTCTAAGTATGGTAGTAATTCCTCAGGATTCACAGTGCTCAAGCATAGCTGTGTGGACCAAATGTGGCAGCCTAGCCCGTCCTCCTGCAGCCTGTGGGGATGGGCAGGGTTGTTCCCACCATGCCTATGGAGAGAGATCCACCAGCCCCCGGCCTCCACCTTCCCTGCGCAGCACCACATCCCCGTTCCTCAGCCTCCCTGACAGTCAGTCAGCAGCTGCCTGCCCATTTCTTGTCACCCCTGACCCAGGGCCCAGCGGTCCACTCAGACATACCTGTAGAGCATCCATAGTGCACCTGGGCCTATGGGAGAGGCCTAGCATGCCAGCACCACAGGTGAGTATAAAACACAGATATACCAGAGTGTTTAGTGCACGGGGTCAGAGAGAACTAAATGTGCCTGAGCAGGAGCAGTAGGAAATAGCTGCCTTCTGGTTCCTGTTTGTATGTGACAGTGGAAACTCACAGTTGGTCCTGGAGTGATGCTTGGCCTCAGGTTTGTTTTATTTCAGGATCATAGAATTTGAGCTATGTGGGATTACAGAGGGAGAAACTGAGCCACAGAATGGCACAGCAGAACTAGGAGTCCCTGCGTGTCGACTCCAACAGAAGCTTAATAACAATAGGGGGTTATAATGTGTGTCAGTCACTGCATTTTACTTCTATTAAGTTATTTTACCTCCAAATTGGCCCTGTAAGGGAAGTGGTGGTATCATCTTTTAATGAACTGTAACTCTGAAAAGCTAATGAGTTTCCCAAGCCTACACAGCAGTTAGTGGGTATCAGTATTTGGGTGCAGCTCTCACCCTAGAGCCCTTTATCACCTTGCCCCACATCCTCTCTTAAAATGCTGCTCTACCACTGTGTACCCAAAGGCCTTATGTTTTTATGGAGCTGAGCTTGGATTGTTACGCCAAGAAATATATTTGATGGGATAGAGAGAGGCAAGTTGCATCCTTGCTGTATTTTACTACCTAAGAGCTGCACACGATCAGAGCAATATGAATTATTATCCCTTTTCTATAACCAGGAACCTAGGTGTCAGAGAAGTAACTTCTGCAGTTACACTGCTGGGACTTGAACCCAGCAACTGACCTCATACCTGCCTTCTTTCTTCCATGCATCACACGCTTTGCCTACCCTAAAGTCGTGTTCGTTGAATTGTATTCCTGGCATTGAAGTTTTGCTCTTCAGAACCCTATACCCTAGCTGAGTCAGAGGGGTGGGGTGTGGGGTTCACTGTTGTTGACAATTTAAGTTGTCTTTATGCTTCTGTGAAGCACAGCCAGGAAGATGAGGGTACCTGCTGCCACTCATGTGAAGCCTTTGTAGATAGAAAAGGTTGCAGTCAGCCCCAAAAAGGCTTTTGTCTTTGGTGAGGGATGTACCATCAGTGGCTCCAGGGCTATTGGACTCTGGACTCTTCATGACTGTTTGAACCTGAGATCAGGACTTCTCTGTTCAGGGTCTGTTTCCAAAATCAGCTTCTGGGACAGTTTTTAAAGTTGTGATTAGGGATGCCATATACTTCAAAATCACCTGGGGGCTTGATAAAAACACAGACCTGGAGGGTTCTCTCGAATTGGACACTCTGCTGCCCAGAATTCTGCATTTTTATCAAGCTCTGGGGTGATTCTTGTGCACACTAGGGTTTGAGGTCTATTGTTCTGGAGAAGAAATTACTAACCCTGGCTATGAATGAGAACTGTTGGGGAGTTTTTAAAATGAATATAAATGTCTGGGTCCTACCCCTGAGGGACTGTGATTTAATTGGTAATATTCAGGTATTACTCTTTAATTAAAACAAAAAAACTCCTTAGGTGTTTCTAATGCACATCCAGTATCAAGAAACACTGTTTTGAAGTAGTGGCTCTCAACATGGGATCCTCAGACCAAAGTGTCAACAATATCTGGGAATTCATTAAAAATGTAGAATCTTGGGTCCCACCCCAGATCTGTACCACAAGAACCTCCAGGGATGGGGCCCAGAAAATCTGTGTATTTGCCCTCCAGGTGATTCTGATGCACGCTTAAGTTTGAGAACCCTTGTTTTAGGGCAGTGATTCTCAATCCTGGCTGCACATTAGAATCACCCAGGAGAGTGTTTAAGAATCCCAATGCCCAGGCCCCATCCCAGACCAATTATATCAGAATCTCTTGGGGTGGAACTCAGGCATCGGTATTTTTTTAAAGCCCCCCCCAGTGATTCCTGCTCTTCTAGATAATGAGGACAGTGTTCCCAAAAAGGAGCTGTAAGTTTGGGACCATGGGTAAGACATAATCATGTAGATGCATCACAGTTCTGGTGGAACTTAAGGTTGGGTGGGGGTGAGATGAATGCATGGCACGACTCTAAACTAGTATCTTACAGAATGTGATGAGGGAGGACAAAAGAAGAAACAAGTTCCCTTCTCTGATGTTCCTCCTTGCCTTCTCCAGCAGAACCAGGAAGGAAATGAACACTGAAATCGGCACTCCCACATAAACCAGCCTGTGCAAAGGTCCCTTCAGACAGCATATAACATTTTATAAAAAGGAGAGAGCTGCAGTCTGGGAAGGTCCCGTGGCCCATGCAAGTAGCATCCACGGTCCCATGGAAGTAGCATCACCAAGATTCAGACCTGGTTGTTTGAATTGCACAGCACACAGCATCCTTAAAGTTGTCCCTTTGCCAGTTCCCCAAATTCTGGCTGCTTCAAGTGTCATTTGATGTCTCACCTGTTACGTTTTGTTGTATTTGCCTTTTTGTTTGGAACAGATTAAAAATAATGAACCTTTGATCAACGTGCTTTACAAAGTGCTGAAGAAGTCAGCACGGGGCTGTCGGCCCAGGAGAAGCGTAAGATGATCTGATCCGTGTCTCCAAGCGGGGTCATTCCATTGCTTCTGGCTCGGTGCCGACTTCATCACTTGCTTAACCAGTTGCTCTCCTGACCGCCCCAGGCTTCCCGCAAGTCATTTTGCTTTATTTTCTTTCAACTGAAGCTCTCTTCAGCATTTTGACTGATGCACCAGGCTGAGCCTCTCATCTGTGGTTTTCTGTGACTCCATGTTTTGTGCTGCCAAGGGTGGGGGAGCTTGCCTGGCTTGCCACCAGCTTGTGTTGTGTTTCCATCATCATGTGTCTGCCTCCACGGCAAGGGCTCACCCAGACAGAGTTAAGCATGAGTTTCTTGGGAGGGAACAGCAGTTATTGGTCATCTTCCAAGAGCCAGGGTATCCTCAGATTCCACAGTGGCCCTGAGATTAAGGTGGCACCTTTTGGGGGCAGGGAGTTGGCATTTGGATAACAGCCTGGAGCTGGACTAGAATAAAATGCTACCCCCTGCCCATACCCTCTTTGATTGATGCAGAAGTAGGGACTGCAATGTGACCAGCTCTTACAGCATTCCAGGGGAGGATGCAGATCAGGAAGCAGGTGTTGTGTCCAACCATCCTGAGCCCTGAGAAAGTGGGTTGGGATGTGGTGGAGGGGAGGGAAGATGCCTGGGTGGCTTTGATTCCCGTCTGATGGAGAGACTCTTTCAAATGGATGAGCACCCACAGACTTTTACTTTTTCTGATGACAGAGATGCTGGGGGGACCCAGAGTTGATGTTTTAAGTGTATTTGGACATGGCTGCAACAAACACACTTTTAAAAGGAAAATTAGATGTAATACAGTACATGTGGATATAATATTTCTTAGTAGCCTCGGCTCTCTGGAGCAGAGCTACATTCAGAAGCTTAACGGTCCTCTGAGCTGTAGAAACAGCTCTCATTAAGCCCATGCTCTAAAGCCTGTGACCTTCCGTCCATAGGAGACAGAGCCAGCTCACATTACTTTGACACATTCATGAACTCACTGAGCAAACATTGCCCGAATTTCCTCAATATGCTAGGCCCTGGCTGGGCTTTGAGGATACAGAGGAAAGGCATCCATCTCCACAGTCACCCCTAATTAGGTTACTCTCTGGTGAGAAGAAACAAATGAGCAAACAGAACTTTGTACTCTAATGTGCTGGGTGCTGTAGTAGCAGCAGATGCAACGTATGGAAAGAGCACCCTGAAGAGCACCACCCCCAGTTAAAGGGAGAGAAGAGATGTAAGTACCTCGTCTCAGTTGAGCTTATAGTCCTTTGAATTCCTAACCCACATCTAGTAAGCAGCACTTTTTTTTTTTTTTTGACACGGAGTCTCGCTCTGTCACCCAGGCTGGAGTGCAGTGGCACAACCTCAGCTCACCACAACCTCTGCTTCCCGGGTTCAAGAGATTCTCCTGCCTCAACCTCCCAAGTAGCTGGGACTACAGGCGCGTGGCACTGCACCTGGTTAATTTTTGTATTTTTAGTAGAGATGGGGTTTCACCATGTTGGCCAGACTGGTCTTGAACTCCGGACCTCATGATTCTCCTGCCTTGGACTCCCACAGTGCTGGGATTACAGGCTTGAGCCACCGTGCCCGGCCAGATAAGCAGCACTTTAAAAAGGGACAAGAGAAATCTACTTCTTGGAAAAAGAGGTAGTACTAATATCCTGAGAGGGAGAAAGAAAAGGTTGAATGTATATTCAGTATTCCACGAAGGCAGCAAAGGGCGTACTTTTAGAAAACTTTCCATCAAAAAGTATAATTTAGAAGATTCAGCTCCTCAAAATGCCCTTTTTATATAAAATATCTCGTTCTTTTCCTGATGGTGCTGGATAAATGAGGCATTGCTCAATTAGATTTTCTGCCTTGTTATTTAAGTATCAAAAAGACATTCTCTGTAAAAAGCTTCAGTGAAATAAGAGGAAGAGTTTTGCTAGGGGGGAAGAATCCTCAGAGTGTATCTCCATTTGAAAATGATTTCTACCTAGGAAGTGAGCCCCAAAGGTCAGTCCCTTTGGAGAATAGACAACCTCCTTGTCCTTGGCTTTGATGAAAGGACGATGACATAGAGTGAAGACTTCACTGCTTTCACCCGCTTTTTCTCCTGGGTTCCCCTGAGTTTAAAACCCACATGCTGCCTGAGAAGTTCAGCTGTTTGTGATTCACCAGGATTAATTTCATGCCCACCCCCTGCACCGCCCTCCCATTGCAGGAGACAGCACAGTCTGTTTGTTTGTGGATCGTTGCAGTCTTGTGTTCTGCAACTGTGTATATACAAGTATGTACACATAATCTGACAGTCTGAAGAGCAGAATTTGGCTGGAGTTCTATTTTTTTCAGGAACTCAACAACAGTGACCTACATGTGTTTCCCTTTGACCTACATGCAATTCAATAAGCGTTTGCTGAGTTTGTGCCAGGTCTTCTGTTCAGGGCTGACTTTACCAAGATACATAAAACAATGGTTCCGCCCTCTTCTGTGTGACCAAAGGGATCATGGGAATGGGTGGGGCAGGCGTGTAGCCCAGAATCAGTCCTCACCCCAAGGCAGGGAGAGGTCCTCTCCCTTGACCTTTGGATTTGCTCATGACAGTTTGCAGGGAGAGGTAGCATAGGACAGTTGGGCACATGAAGGGCTTGAGCACTGAGTGGAATGTTTGCCAATTTATTTCCACCCCCAATTCACACTGAAACTTCCTGGACCTTACAGATAGAATGGGGAGAAATCTATACCCCTCTCTCCAGCAGCTATCTGTCCACACTGGGACCTCTCTGCATAGTGCACACACAGCGCCTATCTCTGCCACTGTTAGCTCCACCCTCCATTTCCCTGGTCAGATCTGCAAAATAGAGATCTGGTTTCCCCTACATCAGGCACAATAGACTTGGTTCTCCCTGGCCTTGTCTTGGCCATGGGAAGGTACATCTGTGAAAGTCACTCCCCTCAACCCCTGCATGACTTTTGGCAAGAAAGAAATTGGGGGAAATGGAAAAATGGGATAAGTTAGATTTAGAGTCTCAGGAGTCAGTGAGAGACAGGCGGCATATTGCCTACCTTGAGTCAAGTGAGGGATAGGAAATGTAAAATCCCATTGGCCCACAAGTTTGGGTGACTTTTGTGTATTGCTTTATGGTTTCCTTTCTTGTAACTTATACAAGTACAGCCTAGCCTCAGTTATGCAGGGAACAATTAAAAACCCCTGCTGGGAACTAGCCAGGTTCCTTTTTACCTTGGCCAGGTCTTCTTCCCAAATGGTAAAGGGTGAGAAAGGCTGGCCTTACGCATGGGGAAGTGGGCTGCTCAGAGACTTCCTTAAGCTAAGGCTTGACAACGGTCAAGGGATTTGTTTGTTCCTCTGGGTCTGCCCATCTCACCACCCTGGGCAGGGAGTAATGGGCTTCGTAACTCGTGTTTGTTCCCAGGTTCAGTAGCACACCTCTGTCTGATCGGTGGCAAATCTCCCAAGATTCATGCTGATTTTTGACATTCATTTTAGGCAAATATATACTTTTAAAATTGATGATCCTGTAACTTGAATGTCTACATTTTCTTTAACTCAAAGGACTTACCAGCATTACTAGAATCATGAAAAGGTTTTGTTTTTTTCCTAAAATGAAATAGGCATAGTATAGCCCAAGTTTTTGCCCCTCTCATGCTATGACCTACTTGCCACTGCCAAGGACTTCCACACCATCCATTGTAGGATGAATTTTCTTTCCCAAGTTCTGATCTCAAACACCATGGTTAAATCTCTTTTAAATTGTTCGCCTCCCAGATGACAGGCCGGGACCTTCTCAAGGATCGAAGTCTGAAGCCTGTGAAGATCGCTGAGAGCGACATTGACGTGAGTGAACAGCGTGACACGCTGACCCCTCATCTGCCTCCTGACGCCGACCCAGGGTGAACAGCTTCAGGCAGGGCTTGGATGATTCTGTAGCCAAAGGCTGTCTGATCGCAATCCCAAGGTCATGTCTTTTTCTCATCACTCCAGGCCCTTTCTACCTGTTCTTGCTTTTAGGTCAAACTGAGCATCTTCTGCGAACAGGACAGGATCCTCCAGGACTTGGAAGACAAGATACGAGCCCTTAAAGAGAACAAAGTATGTGTCAGTTTTGAATAATCTTGGAATGGGCAGAGGGGCTTTTTGTCCCGTCTTTCTTGAGACATAGGCTGGACCCTCATGTTAGTACTGAACAACAAATGTTAGCTTATTTAAAAAAAAAAAATGCATTGGGTGCGGCGGCTTATGTCTGTAATCTCAGCACTTTGGAAGGCCAAGGCAAGTGGATCACGAGGTTAGGAGTTCGAGACCAGCCTGACAAACATGATGAAACCCTGTCTCTACTAAAAATACAAAAATTAGCTGGGCGTGGTGGTGGGCGTCTGTAATCCCAGCTACTCAGAAGGCTGAGGCAGAATTGCTTGAACCCGGGAGGCAGAGGTTGCAGTGAGCCGAGATAGCGCCACTGTATTCCAGCCTAGGTGACAGAGGAAGACTTCGTCTCAGGAAAATAAAAAAAAAAGGCTTATATGTGATGACCCCCGGTCCCTGAACCCCCAGGAAGCAGGGTTCCTTTGGAGGAAGTGGCTGCAGTCATTACAGGGCAGATGCCTTTGCTTCCTAAAGCTCCTTGTCTCCTAGGATCTGGGCTGTGGAGGCAGCAAGTCTGGATGGGAGTGCAGGAATGGGCCAGGGGCCACCAACGTTGGCCTTTTCTATTCTTAAAGTAATATTTTCCTTTTGCATTTTAAATTTGTGATACTGAAGGTTGATAATATACTCTTTTCCCTAGGAGGCTAGAGAGGATTTTTTTTTTTAATTCTTTGATTTATCCTCTTAGTTTATCCCATAAGGAGTTAGACAGCTGTATTCCTAGTTTATAGATGATGAAATTGAGGCACAGAGCTGTTAGGTACTTTCCCCAGCCTACCCCCTAGACAGAGTCAGAGCTGGCATCAGAGCCCCAACTGTGGGCCCATATCTCAGTGCTGGTCCTTTCAGCCTTGGTTAGGTCCAGTAGTTTTGGTTCCTGGTGTGGTATGGGGAGGCCTCTGGGGACTATCCTCCTATCCTGCTGCTTTTTGGCCCTTCCTGGTACAGGATCAGCTAGAATCTGTGCTGGAGGTGTTGCACAGACAGATGGAACAGTACCGAGACCAGCCCCAGCACTTGGAGAAGATTGCCTACCAGCAGAAGTTGCTGCAGGAGGACCTCGTCCATATCCGAGCTGAGCTCTCCAGAGAGTCCACTGTGCGTAGAGGGTGGCAGACCGGTCTCCCTCAGGATGAGCTGAGCGAGGGGCTGCTTTTCTCACCTCCCAGATGTAGTTGAGTTGGTGTCCAGAGGCAAGAGTCCTGAAATAGCAGAGCTTCTCCAGTAGCAGAACTGCCGCCTGACAGTAGATGACCTTGTCTGCTGGGGGTGACATGTCTGCCTGCATGTGTGCCTTAGGCTGCTTACCACAGTGACTTTTGAAGGCCAGTGACACCCAGTGGGCCAGATTCTCAGAGCTGCCTGCAGACTGTTCCCCTGATCTGCGTGCAGTTAATTCCAAGTTGTCAGAAGCTCTGCTTTTTCACTTTTCAGTCTGTTGTGGTACAGGCCAGGACTGAGAATCAAAGCATCCTGAGGGTGGAAGAGGGAACAGTGCAGGTGGCCAGGGTCAGAGCACAAATGAGAGGATGCCACGCTCTTTCCTGCTCCTCCCTCTCTCTCACCAGGCCTGCCTGAGGCCTGGCCGGTCTCGGTCTCCTTCCCTCTTCCCCTGGCTGGGTCTGCATGGTCAGGAGTACAGGTGTTCATGAGGCCTTCCGACAGGGCAGGGGATAACTGAGAACTGGAAGCATTTTCTTGGCCAACAGGAGATGGAAAATGCTTGGAACGAATACCTGAAGTTGGAGAATGATGTGGAACAGCTGAAGCAGACCCTGCAGGAGCAACACAGAAGAGCCTTTTTTTTCCAGGTGATCTGATACCTGTCCATCCCTTCTGAGCTCTTGTTTTTTTGTTTTTCCAAGAGCTTTCACCTGTGGGGGCTGTGAGCACTGCTCAGAGTCCTTCTCCCCCTTGGCCCCAGATGCTCCACCCCTGTAAAGGAGCCACCCCAAACTCTCCCTTGAGGATCACTTCCCCAAGCCAGGCTGTGAGGAGAAGACTCACCCTCTTCCCCTTGCCTTGCTGCTCTCAAAGACAAACTCTTGGGTGTTTTAGAAAGGGCTTTACCTCTGATCATTTGGGGTCGTCAGTGATCACAGAGTGATCCGTGTTCCTGTGGTTCTTGACCCCATCTTAGGCTGCTAGCTCATCGCTTAGACAGCAGCAGGAAGTGGCCATCCCTTCCCTCCTCTGATTCCTGGAGATAGATGTTATCATACCTCTACCAGAGGGAGACAGTGTGAATTCTGTCCTTTGAGGCTCTCTGGTCTTGAGGCAGTCATCTGCATTTCTGGAGGCGAGGCTGGGTGATACCCATCTCTGTGACCCCGTACCACTCAGGAAAGCTGGCCTTAGAGCCCTGCCTCTTTACCCTTAAAAAATCAGGCCACCCTATTGATAGCTGCTTCTGTCCCCCAGAAGTGAGACAGTGAAAGACCCTGTGTGGTTTTTCTTCTTCCAAATTGGGTTCCAAATTGCCCAGTGTTCCCCCACTGTGGTGCTTAACCAGGTTTCCACCTCACCCTCACAATTTTTTAAGTGGAAAATAACCTGTTTTTTTCTCACCTGACTTAAGATCTATATCTTCTCCTTTCAGGGCCCTGAGATAATAAGTGTGTTGGAATTCAGCAAGCATTAATTGAGGCTTCTTGTGGGTGAGGCACCATGCTGGGCCACTTTTGGTGCTGGGCTTGCTAATTGATGAGCTAGTTCTAACCAAGGCTCTTCGTTTAAGTGATTTAATGAATATATTGACTCTCCAGACATTAGCCTCACCCCAGAAAGTTGAAGGAAATTCTGGAGGGGGTGTAGGTGTGTGGGCCCTGAGGCTTTTCCCAGGGCCTTGCTGTCCCTCTGTTCATGCAGAGATGGTTCCTAGAGAGCCCTGCCTAGGAGCATGTGGAGGAGACCCTCGCCTGTGGCTCAGGGCTGGCCTACAAGACTCTCCCCAGCACTTGTCTATCTCCTGCTGCTGGTGGGGTTGTTTGCCTCCATAATTTCTCTTCATCCACTCTGGCTAACACTTCACTATTCTTTTTTGTAGCCCCAGCACTTACCGTAATGACTTGAAAATACTAGGTGAATATTGTTGACAAAGTCCTTCAATTATTTCTGGTTATGAGTTTATAAAACTGTCTGCCCAGGTATACCTATTTTCTTGGACTTCAGTGATCTGAATTTTTTTAGCAGTAATTTTTTTCTGCCTTATTTTTAGTAGTAATTTTTTTAAGCTTTTCATTCTTTGTTTCTGTAATTACACAAATAACAAATGAATACGTGTCTTTGAAAAGGCCAAAACAGTAAGAAGCAAAAACAAAAAATGATATAAAAGTTCCTCTTCCCCCTCCCCTTTTCTGCCCCTCCCATCACCCTCCCTATGTGAAATCAGTGGTGTCCGTTGGTGGCGTTGCCTTCTAGACCATTTTCTATGCATTTTCAAAAATATGCACATGCATAGAATCATATGATTTATTCAGGGATGGGAGCAGGTAAAAGGCTTACTTGAAGAGGATCACACTTACACATTATTTGGCAACTCACTTTTTTTTTTGTCATAACCTGGTATCATGGAAATCTTTGCAGGAAAGTTAACCCCAAATTTATGCTGCCCAATAAAATATAAATTAATTAAAAGTAACTGAAATTTGGCCGGGCGCGGTGGCTCAAGCCTGTAATCCCAGCACTTTGGGAGGCCGAGACGGGCGGATCACGAGGTCAGGAGATCGAGACCATCCTGGCTAACACGGTGAAACCCCGTCTCTACTAAAAAAAATACAAAAAACTAGCCGGGCGAGGTGGCGGGCACCTGTAGTCCCAGCTACTCGGGAGGCTGAGGCAGGAGAATGGCGTAAACCCAGGAGGCGGAGCTTGCAGTGAGCTGAGATCCGGCCACTGCACTCCAGCCTGGGCGACAGAGCGAGACTCCGTCTCAAAAAAACAAACAAAACAAAACAACAAAAAAAAAAGTAACTGAAATTCAAAATATATTCCTCATTTACACCAGACTCATTTAAGTGCTTCGTACCCACATGTAGCTATTGGCTACTGTCTTGGACAGCAAAGATGATAGATTTCTATCATCTCAGAAAGGTGTATTGGGCAATGCCAGTCTAAGGATATTAAATTTGTTCATCTTGACTGTTACATACTATTTCATAGTCTGGGTGTTTTCTACTTTATTTAGCCATTCATTTTCTGATAGCATTTAATTATTTTCAGTGTTTTGCTTTTATAAATGGTGTTGTGATGAGGATTCGTGTAACTGCCTTTTCACACTTGTTTACAAGTATCTGTGTAAGATAGGCTCCTAGGAGTGGACTTGCTGGGGTTGAAATGAGTATACATCTTAAAAGTGGATGGATACGCCAAACCACCTTCTAAAGGGCTGCACCTTTTTACCTTCCTACCCACAGCAAATGAAAGTACTGGACCTATTTGCTCACATCCTTGTCAGCACTTGTAATCAATCTTCTTAGTTTTACTAGTCTACTAAATGGCATCTCATTTTAATTCGCATTTATTTAGTTATTAGCAGGTTAAATGTGTATTCGTAGGATTATTGGCCATTTGTGTCTCTACTGTGCCTTATGTCATGGCGATTTAATGTATAGCAGGCCTAGAATCCTTTTTTTCCCCCTTCCCTCCAAAAAGCAAATAGATACACTATGACAGGTCTTTGTCACAGATGCCCTGGAGAACTCAGCCCCATAAGTTACTCTCAGATAGGCCAGCCTGGAGCCTGCAGCTTGATTTCCACCTTGCCTGCGGCACTGCTCACACTTTTCCTAAGTGCACAGTGACCTGGGAAGCTAACAAAGCCCTGCTTTGAGCAGGCACTGTGCTAGCTTCTTTGGTGTCATTCTAGGGCGGGCAGGCTGTTAGAGCCCTAGATAAATCATCAGCACTGCAGATGCACTTGCAACCCCATATGCGGATTCTCAGTAACAGGGCTTAGAAATTCGCCTCCCTGTAATCAGGTTGGCTCCAGGAAAATACCCTTTTCAGTCAAGACTAAATCAGTGAGTTCAAGGCTTTACTGAAAGCAGCACATAGGAGCCTTTCTACCCAGTATGGTGGGAGGCGGCAGGAATGAAAATCCACCACCTCATTTCCCCCAAAATTCCCCTCCCCTCATTATGAAGGCCCAAAATTCCATCACCCTTGGAGAAGGATAGGGACTCTCCAGCCTTTTTTATTCTCTGCTCTCTGTTCTTTTCCCACATGTGGGGGTGACAGAAAGGCATCAGCGGGGCAAGAGAGTGGCTGACAGGGGAGCTTTGCCAGGGAGCTATGGAGGAGGAAGAGGACTGTGTTTAATCCCTTTCTTTACCTGTTCCCAACACTCAGCTTGGGGACTTCAGCCCTAGAGGTCATCCTCTTACCTACACATGCCCTGGGCTCAGTGATATACCTGTTTTAGGGTGCTCATGCTTTGGCATGCAGCTGAGAATCAAGCCCATTATTTGCTTGCCAGACCTGAGGATGTGCTTTATGTTGGAGTGTTGAGAGAGTGAGAACTGTGAGCCCCTTGGGACAAGAGGCTTTGGACATCTGTTGTCATGGCTGTTGGAAAGTATTTGCTCAGGGAATTTTACATGACTGGTCCTTTATTCATGCAGCATGGATGCACTGGGAACCTGCTAAGTGCCGGGCCCTGTAGGGATGAATCAACAAGCAGTATCGGGCAGGTCCGTGAGACTCATGCAGTGTGAGAACTCTTCCAGTTGAGGGGTAGCTAGGTGCCTTGAGAGGAGATGGGGTGAGTCCATGGGGTGGGACCAAGGCTATCTTCCCCCCATGTTAACTTAAAAGTCAAGAGAATACGACATTGGATGTTTAAACAACCCCGTCAAGAGATAGCCATAGTCCCTTAACCACATCAGGCCCCTCCGTACCTCTTTTAGATCCTCTTCCCATTCGATTTTGGTTGTTGCTTGTCAGAATGCACATGATCATGTAGCCTAGGTCCTTCTCCATTGTATGTAGATATGTATTTTTTGGAGTTTATTATTTTTTTAAATTGATATATAAAAATTGTACTCTTATTGTGTTAAAAAAATTAACAGCTTTATCATATATTTCACATGTCATAAAATTAACCCTTTTGGCTGGTTATGGTGGCTTATGCCTATAATCCCAGCACTTTAGGAGGCCAAGGCAGGAGGATCACTTGGAGCCAGGAGTTCAAGACCATCCCGGGCAACATAACAAGACCCCTGTCTCTACAAAAACTGAAAAAGAAAAAGAAAAACCAGCCAGGCTTGGTGGCATGCTCTGGTACTCCTAGCTACTTGGGAGGCCAAAGCGGGAAGATCACTTGCGCCCAGGAGTTTGAGGTTACAGTGACCTTGATCACACCACTGCACTTCAACCTGGGCAACAAAGTGACGCTGTCTCCAAAAAATAAATAAATAAATTCACTCTTCTAAAGTATACATTTCAGTGGTTTTTAGTATATTCATAGCATGATACAGCCATCACCATAATCAATTTTGTAACACTTCATCATCCCCCAACAGAAATCCTGTATCCATTAACAATCACTCCCATTTCCCCAATGTCCCCTCTGCCGTAGCCAAACACTAATCTACTTCCTGTTTCTACTGATTTGACTAGTCTGGACATTTCTTATAAATGGAATCATATAATGTGTAGCTTTGTGTGACTGGCTTCTTTCCCTCGCATGTTTTCAAGGATCATCCTTGTAGCATGCATCAGTACTTCATTTCTTTTTATTGCCAACTAATATTCCATTCACTACTGTATTTTTAACTAAACCTCAAATCTCGGGTTCAGCTCTGACTTCTAAAAAAATGTTTTTTGTATCCTAGAGATGGTGTAAACTCTAGTCCTTCCTTCCCTTCTGCCATGATTACATAAGACAGTGCCTTTTAAAAAATTGTGGTAAAGGCCAGGTGTGGTGGCTCACGCCTGTAATCCCAGTACTTTGGGAGGCCGAGGTGGGCAGATCACCTGAGGTCAGAAGTTCAAGACCAGCTGGCCAATGTGGTGAAATCCCGTCTCTACTAAAAATACAAAAATTAGCCGGGTGTGGTGGTGGGTGCCTGTAATCCCAGCTGCCTGGGAGACTGAGGCAGGAGAATCGCTTGAACCTGGTAGGCGGAGGTTGCAGTGAGCCGAGATGGCACCATTGCACTCCTGCCTGGGCAACAGGAGTGAAACTCCATCTCAAAAAAAAAAAAGAAAAAAATTGTGGTAAAATACACAGAACATAAATTTACCATATTTATTATTATTATTATTATTATTATTATTATTATTATGTTGAGACAGTTCTTTTGCCCAGGCTGGAGTGCAGTGGTATGATCTCGGCTCACTGCAACCTCTGCCTCCCGGGTTCAAGTGATTCTTGTGCCTCAGCCTCCCAAGTAGCTGGGATTACAGGCGCACGCCACCATGCCTGGCTAATTTTTGTATTTATAGTAGAGATGGGGTTTCACATGTTGGCCAGGCTAGTCTCAAACTCCTGGCCTCAAGTGTTCACCTCCTTGGCCTCCCAAAGTGCGGTGATAACAGACAAGAGCCATTGCGCCCCACCCATCTTAATTATTTTTAAGTATACAGTTCAGTGGTGTAAAGTACATTCACATTTTTGTGCGCCCAATCTCCAGAACTTTTTATCTTGTATAACTGAAACTTTATACACATTAAATAGTTCTCCATTCTTCCCTCTCCCCCGCCCCCGGCAACCACTGTTATACTTCCTGTCTCTATGAAATTGACTACTCTAAGTGTGTCATACAGTATTTTAGTGGAATGGCACAGTGTTTACGGCAGTCTATTTTTAAATTAGGCAAGCTGGACTGCTGAAAGCTACTCTGAAATTTCTCCCTGGATATTGGGCATTTTCCATGTCTATGCTTCCCTAGAAAGCTATGAAACAGGCTTGGCTCTAGCACTAGTGGGGTTTCCAGAGGGGATGCTGCCCCCCAGGGCAGGGGGCTCTGTCTGAAATGGTAGGATAAGTCCTAAGAAGAAACTTGTAAGGAGCTAAGAAGGAAAACCCACCACTTTGTCTTCCTCAGGAGAAATCGCAGATACAGAAAGATCTATGGAGAATTGAAGATGTCACTGCAGGCCTGAGTGCAAATAAAGAGAACTTCAGAATTCTAGTGGAGTCCGTCAAAAATCCGGGTCAGCTGTTCATCTTCCTGGGTGTGGGGGATCTGGGTGAGGGCGGGGGTGGTGGGAGGGTGGAAGGCTGGGAGCCAGGTGGGTGGGATGGCCCTTGGGGAGGTTGGGTCTTCGAGGTGCTAAATCACTCCACTCATCCTCCAAGGAAGGGTGTCTTTGTTCCATCCCGTGCTTTGTTTCCTTCTATGCCCCTTAGAGAGAAAAACGGTGCCTTTGTTTCCTCACCCGCCTGTGCCTTCACTCTCAACTTCTGAGAGCAAGCCGCCCCCACAGCCCAGTCCTCCCACCAGCCCTGTGCGGACCCCTCTGGAGGTTCGACTCTTCCCCCAGCTGCAAACCTACGTGCCGTACCGACCTCACCCACCCCAGCTGAGGAAAGTGACATCCCCCCTTCAGTCACCAACTAAGACGAAGCCCAAAGTTGTAAGTAGTGATGACTAGGAGCTGAATGCCATTGTTTCCTCTTTGTCCTCAGATTACTTTCTCCTGGGAGAGAAACTCCTGGGAAAACTTGGGGAAATGGACCCAGCCAGTGTCCTAAAGGAGTCCTTAGTCACAAGCAGTTAAAGAGTAGTATTTCCCTGCTATTGTGCCTTAGAACTGGAAGATCCCTGGAAGATGATCTAACCCAACTCTCCCATTTTGCAGTTGGGAGAACTGAGGCCCACCAAGAAGAAGTGACTGTGCTGAGTAGGATGGGGGTTTGTGATCTGCAGAGAGGTGTGTGGCTGTGGGTGAGGCTGTCCCCATGCAAACCTCTGTGCAGATCCGCGGGGTGTCTCCTGCAGTTACACAGCCTGTGGGCCGTGAGCTCAGTCCAGTGGAAAAATGTCCTTCCCTTCACCTGCTGCTGAGCACTGGGCTGGGTTGTGAGGATGCTTTGATCTTTAAAATAACCTCACAGAGTGTACACAGCAAGAGCAGTGTCCCCATTCCACGGAGAAGAAAACTAAGAGCCTAAACTGTTGACATTTGCTCAATGTCTCCATTCTAACTAGTGAATCCAATCACACCTCCTGGCCCTTCTCTTTTATTCTGTGCCATCTGCCATCTAATTGGGCCTTTAGTCCCAGATCTGGTCTGTGGCCTCTGTGGCTGACTGGGCCAGCACCTTGATTTGCCTGGCATAGAAGGAGGCCAAGCTCTTGGCAGAGTCTGGGAATGCAGGAGACTTTAAAGAAATAGGAGATGTGGTCAGGTCTCAAGAGAGCTCACGCCACCAGGGCCAGGCCAGCCTTGGCTGGAGAACACAAGGAGGCTAGTCCCAGTGCAGGGAATCTATAGCAGAGTGGACCTCAGAATGGGGCCCTCCAGATTCTTGCCAACAAAGGCTTGGAGGAAATTCACCTGGGCATCGTGTGTCCCTGGACCTCTGGTGAGGTCAGTGCACAGTGCTGGGTAAAACATATGAGTTCTGCTATCCTGGTCCTCACCATCTACCTGCTTCCAGCCACAGCCCAGGGCCCACAGCTGCACCCAGGGTATGGCCCACCACCCAGCCAGAGAGTCACTGTGGATTTCAACATCTTGAGGTCTTCCCAATCCTAGATCCGAGAGGTGGACTGGAGCTCTTGCCCTAAAACAGGACAGGGAAAATACCAAAACAAATAGCAGGAATGTCTGGGGCAGATGGCTGCCGACATAGGGCGCGATGCTGCCAGCTGGGACAGGGAATAGGGGAAAAGGCGCTGGCATAGGAGCTGGGACATCCAGATTCCGGGACTGATTCTCTCTGTGTGTCCTCAGGCAAGTCCGTCCCTTCTCTGAGCTTCCTCGCTTTCCCTTTTGTAGATGGTCACAGAGGCTCCTCCTCAGCTTGGTCATCTGTGGCGCTCAGGCAGGGCTTTCTCAGCTTGGGTGAGCATCAGGATCACCAGGAGAGGTCCTCTCTCCTAGGAATATATGTGTGTTTGCCAGTTTTACCATTTGTTTTATTACTTGCTTGTTTTTAACACTTCTAAGATGGGCGTGGTGGTACGTGACTGTAGTCCCAGCTACTGGGAAGGCTAAGGCAGGAGGATCATTTGAGTCCAGGAGTCTGAGGCTGCAGTGACCTGTGATCACACAGCTGCACTCCAGCCTGGGCAATACAGCAAGACCCTGTCTCAAAACAAAACCCATTTATATTTGTGAAACAATAATACCCATCCTGAAAATGACATAAAACAGGATTATATAATTTAATGAATAACAATAAAGAGACCACCTGTTTTATACCAACAGCTGGACTAAGAAATAGAACACTGCCAGCAACCAGAAGCCTCTGGGTTCTTTCCCAGGTCAAGCTGCTTCCTGTCTGCCAGAAGTAACAACGATCTTGACTTTTTGGATAATAATCCCCCCCCTTTTTTTTTTTTTCAGTTTTAGTACCTGTGCTGACTTTCCTAAACACTGTGATTATGCTGGTGTATAATTCTATACTCTTTTGTATCTTGCATCTTTTCTTCAACATTATGTTTGTGAGATTTATATACATTGTTGCATGTGGCTATAGTTCTTTTATTTTTATTTGACTTACTTTCTTGAGTTTAATGTTTTTTAAAAAATAAATTAGATGATATTCTTAAAGGATACAAAAGCAAAAGATATAAAAAAGTACATAATAACATGTCTCCTTCCCACCCTCTGCCTCCAGACATTCCATTCAATCAAAGGCAATCGATGTTTTATGTTTATCTTTCTGGGGTGCTTTTTAGAAATTGGTGATTCATATGTCTTGTCAGGATTAGAAACTGTGGATCCTTGGAGAACCAGTGGGTATCTTAGGCAGATTGCTTAACTTTCCCACATCAGTGAAGCATATTGCTTTAGAAGATTGTTGATAAGCCTTTGCTTTGGAGTGCTCTTTCCTGAACTTTCCAAGAGCTTGGAGTGCCCTTTCCTGAACTCTGCAAAATTCTTAAAACCAAATTAGACTGAGAAAGAGGGAATTTAGGAGGTGGAAGGCGTGATGGTCATTAGTCCTGCGAGTGGGTATTCATGGCAACCAGGGGCCGGTCTGTCAATATGTAGAGGAACCACAGCCCTCACAGAGCATTGTGGACAGGGAGTTTCAAGGAAAATGGTTGCATTCATCACATTCTAGGGAATCAGCTGCATGGTAGGCAGTGAGTCACTCATGCTGACTGCCTGTTCTGAGTCAGGAAGGAGGAAATATTTTGTAACCATGCACATTTCTGATAGAAAGGCCAGGAGGATGTAGACTCTGTCCTTGTTCAGGTCTCCACCCTGCTGAAGGAGCCAGAGCTTATGCAGGGCCAGTGAGCCAGCTCAGGCTAAGCTGAGTGGGTAGATGTTATTCTCCAGGTGGGTGGTGCTGTCATAAGCATGGAAGTCAGGGCAGGGTTAGCAGCCTGCCTGCAATGTGCACTCCAGGTGAGCGGAGGGAGCAGTTTGGCACAGCAGCAAGGGTATGGACCCGGGAGACTTGAGTCCTGGGTTTTGGGACAGTTATACAGGTAACACTTTGCAGAATAGAAACTGTATACATCTGAGGGGATAGAGGAGCAGAGGCATGTCCCTTCTTCACTGCTCCTCCTGGGGAAGTGTGAGTGCTCCTTGGCTGAGGCAGCCATGTTCTGTGGCTCTGATGTGGCCTGTTACTGCCCTTTAAACCTCCACTGTGGCAGTACCCAGCAGTCCTCCCTCCAGCTCTGTCTCACTGACCACTGGTCTGGTTCTCTTTCTCAGCAGGAAGATGAAGCCCCTCCCAGGCCCCCACTCCCCGAACTCTACAGCCCAGAGGACCAGCCCCCAGCCGTGCCGCCTCTGCCGAGAGAGGCCACCATCATCCGGCACACGTCTGTGCGGGGCCTCAAGCGGCAGTCAGATGAGAGGAAGCGAGACCGGGAGCTGGGGCAGTGTGTGAACGGGGACTCCAGGGTGAGCAGGGGACCCTGGGACTGCCACTCTGCATGTGGGGAAAGGGAAGGGGGTATGACACTGGCAGGTCACATCACCTGGGTCTCTGCCCACAGGTGGAGCTGCGGTCGTATGTCAGTGAGCCTGAGCTGGCGACCCTCAGCGGGGACATGGCCCAGCCCTCCCTGGGACTTGTGGGCCCTGAGAGCAGGTACCAGACGCTGCCAGGCAGAGGTAAGGCAGGGTCCTCCCTGGAGTTTCTCTGGGAATCCCACCACACTGCTTCCAGCCCTCAGATGGTGCCTCGTACCCTTCTGTCTGCAGCTCCAGGCCTAGGAGTGAGCAGCAGCTCTCAGGGGGCTCTGGGCTGCCAAGAGGGAGGACCTGGCCTGCCTTCCTCTGGCCCACATCATGATTCTCTTCCTCTTTTGTTATATCTGTCCCCAGGAACAATGATAATAGCAGTTACTAGAAAGCCTGGCACTGTTTAAGTACTTTATATAGACATGATATTCACAACAATCCTATGAGGAAAGTACTGTCATCCCCATTTTAGAGACACAGAAACTAAGGCCCAGGGAAATTAAATAACTTGCCAATTAGCTGATCATTGGTGGAACCAGAAGACCATCCCAGTGCTCTGGCTCCAGAGTCACTGCACCCTGCAGGCTGGGTTGCTGGGTGGCTGCCACCAGCTTGTCCATCTCAGACCTTCCAGAGTGCTTCTGTCTCTCGAATGAACCCTCAATGAACCCTTTCCTTAAATGTCTTCTTGCCAGTTGAGTGTCCTCACTTTCCTCCTCACCCCAAGTTGGGTTGTGCAGGGTGCCTAAGAATAGATCAGGGAGTGAAGGGCATTCCTGCCCCTCCAGTCTTTCCACCTGCCGGGCAGCCCAGTCATCTGCATGTAAGGAAAGCCTGCGGTGGTCCACAGATCTGCAGGGACACTGCCCTCCATCAGGGACAAAGGTCACCCCTGGGCTGGCCCCCATCCTCTATTGGGGACCTTGCTCTTCCAGGCCCTGGGGAGGAAGAAGAGAAGTAAGGGTGGGTCATTGGCTGGGTGCTCTTGGTCCTCCTACAAGAATGTGTGATGAGGGAGAAGCGGGAACCCACCCACACCAGCACAAACATGCTCGCACTTCTCTTTCCTCACGAAGGGCTGTCAGGGTCCATGTCAAGGCTCCAGCAGTCGTCCACCATTGCTCCCTACGTCACACTCCGGAGGGGTCTCAATGCCGAAAGCAGCAAGGCGACCTTCCCTGTGAGTGGCCTTGAGCTGTCGAGGACCTCCCTGCTCCTTCACATGGGGAGGGAGGGTCTCCCAGGGGGACAGTAACTGGCCATCCCGTCAGCCCTGGGGATGGCCTCTGGGGTGGCCTCGCCCCTCCTGAGCTCCCTGTCACCCACTGCCCACCAAGGAGGGCGTCCTGCCTTTCTCTCTGGCCTGTCAGGGTGGCAGGAGGGAGCTCAAGAAGCCTGCACCCTGGGTTCTGGCCTCACTGGACAGGCCTGAGCCTCAGTGTCTGCATCTGCAGAATGGGTTCTGCTCAGAAAGCTCCTGAGGGTTGGGGGCATCGTGTTGCTTAGAGGAAATAGTTCTCTAAGTCCAAGAGGAGCCCAACTAGAGTGTGCATGTGTGTGCATGTGCATGTGCATGCGTATGAGAGACAGCGGGAATGCAGCCAGCGGGGTGGCTGTCCTCTGCATGCCCAGCCCAGCCGTTCTGTGTCTCTCTTGCCTGCCTCCTCTTCCTCAGAGACCCAAGAGTGCCTTGGAGCGCCTGTACTCAGGGGATCACCAGCGGGGCAAGATGAGTGCGGAGGAGCAGCTGGAGCGCATGAAGCGACACCAGAAGGCCCTGGTCCGAGAGCGCAAAAGGACACTGGGCCAAGGGGAGAGGATGGGCCTGCCCTCATCTCGCTACCTCAGCCGGCCACTCCCTGGAGATCTTGGCTCAGTATGTTAGGAGGGGCCAGGCAGTGGGGCAGGGACAGGGAGCCGAGTGCCCCTCAGAGTCCCCCAAACACAAGCATATCACACCTCCCGGTGAGCGAGCTGTCCATTGACCTAAATGGTTGAGGGAACACCCCACGGGGCTGTTTGTCCGCGACACAGGCTGGACAAATGCCTGGTTAGAGGCTGACCTGAACCAGAGCTGGAGTGAGGATCAAACAGGCCCAGGAGCCTGAGGAAACACCCAGTCAGTCCTCCCAGCTGCGATGGAGAGGGGTCTTTGCAGGCATTCAGAATCTCAGCAGAATTCAGGATCTGGGAATACAGGGTTCAGAGAGGAGAGGAGGAAGATGGTGACATGATTTGATTAGAAGCACAAGCAAACCGATCAGCCTCCCACACCTGCCAGCAGATGCTGTGTGAGGGCGCTGGAGCACCGGGTCACACCCCTGCCCCAAGGGCCACTGGTCTCCCTGGGCTTGCAGTGCAGAGGCCTCAGGGGTGTCAGGGAGAGCTGGAGAGGCCTGTGCTGCTCCCTGGTGGCGCTTCCTGGCGCTGTGCCCTGTCCACAGTCACCTTAGGTCCCTTTGGAAATGTTCCATTTGACTTTTCCCTGTTGTGTGAAATCCCATGTTTCCCTAAACCTCTAGCCTGATTGTTCTTTCCCTAATTCATTGCACAAGCTCCTTTGCTTTTAGTGTTACCGCTCGTTGCCTCTCTAATCCTGCCTGATTGTGTTTACAGAAGCTTCTGATTTGCATTGAACGTGCTCTAACTGGCCTGTGCTACTTGTTACCGGGCTTGTAATAGCGGTTCTTGTCTCCATAGCCCGTTGAGTGTTCCCAGATGTGACTCACCTTTCTGCTGCCCTCTTCATGCAGGCCTACTGACTCATAATTCACTTGTCCCAAAAGCCACCCCACAAGCCTGAGACAACCTGCTGCCCGAGGCCACAGTCATTGGCAGAGGTCTGGGCATTATTGATTTATAAAAATCCATGCCTTACACCTGGACGGTAGACAGGGACTTCAGAGACTGCACGTTTGAATACAGTCTCCCAAGACTGAGGTGGTTCGGTTTTAATTCCTCTAGTCCAATCACACAATTTCTTTTGGAAAACCTTTTGTGTTTCTGGTATTTAATAACTTGAAGGGATAGCAAAATATACTGTGTATTCAGAGGGCCTCTCTGCAGCTGTTAGCTCAGACACCAAAGGGGTAAGACCCAGGGCATTCATATCTTTAAAAGCTGCAAACCTGGTAACTTTTAAACTTTTAAAACAAATGTCATATGGGGTAACACTGACCTTTTATAATTTGATGTCTCAAATGTAGAGATTATTTAAAACTCGTAACTTGAATACCTTGTAATATTTCTCTTAAAAAAAAAGACTTGTGTAAGTCTCTGCATCAACGCCAATAAACATGTTGCTTAATAATAATGGATTGGCGTGGTTCTTCCCCAGGATACCTTGTAGAGTCTAGTGAACTTTTCCTGTTTGTGGAAACAATCAGGCTGGGTTTAAATGAGGACTTATCTCTATTTGGAGCATTTGTGAGCGTGTAAGGAAATGAGTGTTTTCTTTGTGAATCATTAAATTGATTTTTTCATCCTTGGAACTTCAGTTGCCTAATCCTTTCCAACAATAATTGGAAACCGTCACCTAAGAGCGATTACACTGATTTGAGGTTATTATTGAGAGCTTGTGCATGAATGGGTGAAATGTGCAAATATGGCTCTGGGTTTGGGGTTTTGGAGGGACTTGAGGAGGCATCAAAGACAATCAGGACCATTTGGGGGGCTTTGAGGTGGATGGATGGGAGAGAGGAGGTGACCTGGGATAGATAAGCATCTGCTTTGGTTCTGCTCAGGGGAAGAGAGATTTTGAGCCTACTCTATTCTCAACAACCTGCTCAGAGGTCAAAGGCCTGTGAAGATGCAGGTCCTGGGTCAACAGGAAACCACCACGGAGCTGGACAGTCATGGCTGGATCTTATGGGTTAGATTTTCCCTTTTGGGAAGCTTGTTACAAAGTTGATACTATGAAACAGACTTAGAAACATTCCATTTGATTTAGCATTTCAATTTTATATGATTTAGTGTTTTTTTTTCTAATTTAAAGAAAACATCTATCTCAAATAGATGGATCTCACACAGCAGTTTGTCTGCCTCATTGGCTCCAAGCTGCCCTTGCTTGTACCTCCCCAGCCCTGCTGTGAGTGCGATATCCCCCACCTACAAATGTTACCTTGTTGAAAATTTCCAATAGAAAGACCCTTGGTTATTCCTCTTGCTTAGCAGGGCCTTGAAGGGCATGTTTTTCCATTAACTCTGAGCCTGAGGCATATGTCTCCTGAACCAGCTGTAGAGAGTGGAAGAGGCAAATCCCTTCTCTAGAACTCTGTCCCAAGTTGTTTGGAGGTCACCCTCTCTGGGAGCCTTCTGTTTCCCTGGGGGCCACTGTAAGCCTGAAGTCATGAGTCTTAGACCTATGCCCCGAGAGTGTGTGTTTGAAACCTCTGGGAACCCAGATCAGAGAGCAATTAGCAGTCTGGAACAACCCATATGAAGGGGACAGCGGCTTCGTTCTCTATTGCACATACAGCTTTTCCCTAATGGGATCACAGGTTCATCTTCCAAAGAACCCCATGGAAAAAGGTGACCAGCTGGGCCCTTTCAGCAGTCAGAAAGCGACTACGTTTAACCCTCTTGTTCTGTTGCCAGTGGAAGCGTGAGCAGGACTTTGACCTGCAGTTGCTGGAACGGGTCGTGCAAGGGGAAAAAAAGGACAAGGAGGAGAATGGCTGGTTGAAAGTGCAGGCCATGCCTGTCACTGAGTTGGACCTGGAGCCTCAAGACTATGACTTGGACATCAGCAGAGAGGTGAGGGCAGGCGCTTCCTTCATGTCCTCCAGGAAACATGGCCTTCAAGCTCCCAGCCTGATCCACCTTCCCACTGTGGGGTATCACCCTGAACAGGGACATGGCTCAGCTTCAGTGTGGCCTAGGAGAATGGATGGATAGCAGCTTGAGGCAATGAAAGGAGGCCAGACGTTTCAATGAAGGTTCAAATCTCTCTCTAATTTAGGGCAAATTGTAATTTTAGCTTCTCTGTGCCTCAGTTTCCTCAACAGTGAAGTGGGTTGTGAAGAGGATTAAGTGACTCCACATGTTCTCTGGAGGTTTAGCGACCAAAGCAATCAAAGCCACATAGTAGGCACGTGAGCAGCAGTTGCTGTTGTTAGGAATGTTCCCTGCAACACCAGGGATTGGCTTTGCAACACCAGGGATTGGCTGGTGAGGCCAACTTGGGCAGTCTGACTAGGGGAAAATGGGGGGCAGGTTTGAAAATCACAGGTGAAAATTTCCAGCCATGATAGAAGCTAGGGAACAGTGCAGTGTTCTGGTCTGAATTCTTCTGGTGCCCTCTGGTGGCTTATGTGCATCATGACAGGGCAGGCCCAGGAGAGCAAGTAACTGCTGGATCTACCCATCAAGAAATGTCTCTACCCAAGGGGAGAGAAAGGGAACTCAGGGTATGACACAGTCAACATCTTCAAGACGTAGATGGTCTCCTGGGGCCTATGTCGATGCTGTTCCTAAGCTCTGCAGGGCAGTGTCTATGGCTGCTTGGTTCACCTTTGTATCCCTAGCCCCTGGCACAGGGCCTGGCACACAGTGGGTGCGTGGTACATCTTTGCTGCATGAAGACTGTGTGGAATGAATCACACAGTGACCCGTAAATGTACCAAAAGCATTTGTACAAGGACTTGGCCTGCCTGGAAATGGCACAAGAGGAAATGTTATCACCACATGAAGGATGGATCGAGGCGAGACCTCAATAAAACTTTTCCCCAGGTCTGTGTGATAGGAGAGTGAGTACTGAGGAGGACCTTGTCTTCTGGAGCCTTCCTGCTGTCTTAAGAGGCAGCGCCAGGCCTATTCACAAGGTGATTTGCCAATGGTATCTACCTGACTCAATATGTTACGGGTTCCTGTGGTCTTTGGGAACAAAGAAACAGCGTGTGGATAAGATAAGTGTCTATAGAGTTGCTGAGTTTTGGGGTCTGCTGGGGCTCTAGGAGTTAACAAGGCTGGTCCCCTGCTCAAGACCTTGTTGTTTTGCCATCTGAAACAGCCAAAGGTCTGTTGTGTTCTTAGATTCACAAAGGAAGCCCCGACATGCTGCCTTGGCAGGGGAAGTGTGTTCTGTAGTGTCCTGATTGCCTGCCAGTCCAGGGAAAATGTTCTTCCTTATCTCTAACCTAAATTCCTCCTGCTACAATGTAATCTACTTCCTTCCTCTAAATCTGTCCTCATTGGAGTAACAGAGAAGAGCTTATTTCTTGCCATCTCCAGCAGCGCAAAAGGGCTGCCTGTGGGTTTAAATCCATGACCAGGTTTGCCCTGGGATTGGGTTAAGCCCGTTTTTAGGAGCTTCAACTTACCCCATTTTAGTGTGCTTTTGTAATTCAGGGAGGAAAAAGTTCCTGGAGCATGCAAAAGCTTCCTTTAGTGTTCTTAGTCCAAGCAAAGTTTCACCAAGCCGAGTTTGCCACTAGTTCTACGGGAGATGCTGGTGAGGTGGAATTTGGGGCTGTCTTCCTCTGGCCAGCAGTAGATTCAGCATAGCTGCCTCCTGTCTAGATCAGAAGAGCCTTTTTAGGGACAGAAAGCACCATCACATCCTTTCATTCACCCACCCGTCAATCATCCATTTATCCATTATCCATCCATTCAGGGAGATTTAGTTGGAGGGCTACTAAGTACTAAGTCCATGCATTAGACAGAGGGAGACAATGGCGAACGGAAAGTGAGGGGGTGGAGGGGATCAGAGAAGGCTTCTCAAAGTGAGGTTGAAAAGATGAGAGTCAAGGTAACAAAAGGGAGAGCTTCCCAGATGGAACAGAGGCCCCACTGTGGGCGGGGAACTGGAGGGGCTGGTTGATCAGTGGCTGCAGAGGTCATCAGGGGTCAGGTCACTTAGGGCCTTGACGGTGGCATTAAAGATGATCATTTTCCCGAGAGCTTGTAGTCTAACTATCTTGCCCTTCCCTTCCGCCAGCCTGTAGGAGGTTGTCTGGTGGAGTGGAAAGAACACGAGCTTTGGAGTCGGACTCAGGTTCAAACCTGGATTCCACAACTTACTAATTTTGTGATCTTAGCAAGTTACTTAGCCTCTGTGGACTCCGCTTGTTTCCCATGGTGGGAGGGGACGGGGATGGGAAAAGCGAGTCCTAAACCCAGACATCTGAGTGTCTCCCTCTGCCACCTCCTGGCCTCTCCCCAGTTGTCCAAACCAGAGAAGGTGTCAATCCCTGAGCGCTACGTGGAGCTAGATCCCGAAGAGCCACCTAGCCTTGAGGAGCTGCAAGCGCGTTACCGCAAAGCCGAGAAGATCCGCAACATCCTCGCCCGGTCAAGGTCAGTCCTCGCTTACTCAAGTGTTGGCAGGTCACCCTGACCCCAGGTGGTGTCTCTACCATGTGGGCCCTGGGCCAGGCTGGCTGGGATGCATGTTTTGCCAAGTCTTCGTCTCAAGTAAGCCCTACTCATTGGAGGGGGCAGGCTGGTACATTGCCAGCAGATCAGCAAGGAAGCTGCCTAGGTCATCTGGAAAGGCCTACAACATTTGTAGAGGCTTCTTGTCCTGGGCTTTCACCTCCAATTCTGTGTCCCAAGTGACCCTAGCAAGTGAGGAGAGTGGAGCCAAGCATGGCGTGAAGCGGAGCTAGTTGGAGATCAGCTCCAGTGATGGTCCTCCCAGCATTTGGGCCTGTGCACCCTCATGCAGACCAGCAGATCAGAGCCAAGGGTGCCAGCCTTGTCCCTAGGGCACCAGAGGCATTGCCCACTCCCCTGGATGCTGGCCTGGGGCCCTCTGAAGTGACTTGACTATCCCCTCAGCCTCAATAGCTTCAGAAACTTAATCTTGTTTGTATGCCTCCATTTCAGAGCTGGCTTAGTCATTTCATGTCTGAATTTAATAAGAGCCTCCAGCTAGATCTGTGAACTTAAGGTCTGTGGCCTTCCCAAAAGAGGAACAAAGCTGTGATCGTTTGGGTGTTTCGGGGAAAGCATGTACCTTTGTCTAGGGAGAAAGTACCCACAGTTTTTGTCTGAACCCCCTCAAAATGTTGAGAACCTCTAGGCCAGGGAGACCCTCCACTCCTGAGGCTGCTGCCCAGGGCAGGAGGGCCCATGGTCTGCTTCCGACCCTCCTGCAGCATGTGCAACCTGCAGCCGACCTCAGGCCAGGACCGGAACAGTGTGGCTGACCTGGACTTGCAGCTGCAGGAGCAGGAGCGCATCATCAACATCTCCTATGCCCTGGCCTCCGAGGCCTCCCAGCGTAGCAAGCAGGTGGCAGGTAAGGCCATGGCCCAGCCCCCAAGGCCTGGATCCTGCCCACTGCACCTGTGGACTTGGGCCCAGCATGGCCTGTTCCAGAGCCAGTGGAAAATCAAGTGTCAAGGATGGTAGTTGAGGGTCAGTGGTGTGTTCCCCTGACCACTGGGCATCCTGTCCCATGAGCACAGCAGGACTTGGAAGGGAAGGTGGGGCAGGCCACACAGTGGGGGAGACCAAGGGGGCCCAGAAGCTCAGAAGTATCAGGGGAAGGTGGTCCCAGGAGGAGCAGTGCTGCTACCCCACTTCCTCGGAGACTATGAGCTAAGAGCAGGCTTTTCAAGGTTCTGATCCAAGGGGCTAAGGTTTCTGACCTCATGAAGAAGGGGGCAGGAAAGTGGTTGATGCTTGAATTTCTTGCTGGAGTAAGGCAGAAGGGGGCCCTCCAGACCTCCCTGGTCCGCTGCCTTGGTCTCTAAACTAAAGCCAGTGTTCACCTTGTCAGAGTGTATTGTGCCAGAAAGTATGGGACGAAAAACATAACACCATGGGATGAGAATATGTGTGTGTGTGTGTGTGTCTCAGTGTGTGTCTGTGTACGTGTGTCTGTGTGTATGTGTGTCTCTGTGTATAAAAGGGCTGCTCTTTCTCTCAGTCAGGAAGGAGACTGCAGGCTCCTCCTTCCACTCACAACTCACCTGCCTGTGTGTGCCTTGTGCCTTCACAGTTCACCTGGTACCATTTCTCCCCCAGTGCAGAGGCCACTGTGTGTCTGGGTGGTGCTCCTGGCCAGGTGTGCTCCTTCTGGGGAGGGGGCAGCCATAGAGCCTGAAGTGGTGTCATGGCCCCTACCAATTCTCCAACCCTGGCCAAAGGGTCTAGAAGTAGCCAAGGATGTGGCTGGCAGAGCCCTCAGAGGCCTGGGCCTGGGGGGTCTGGTCTGGGGATCAGAGAGCTTTGCTGTGGCCCCAGAAGGCCATGAGAGTGACTGACAACAAGGGGAGAGGCCATAGTCATAGTCAAAACCTGTTCTCTGTCCCCTACAGCCTGATCCTGCACAGTCCTTGAAATCTCTGCTGTCCTCAGTCCCTTCGAGCACATGCTGAGTGGGCTGAGAGTTGGCCAGTGTGGTGTTCTGGGACTAGGGATGCAGGAGATGACTCATCCAGACCTCTCCTCCCAATGACCCTGGGGCTCATCTTAGCAGCTTTTGAGCTCCTTCTGGGGAGGGTTCGAGCAGGGGCGGCTCCCCCACCATACCGTGCCCTCCTCTCGCCTTGCTTGCTCTAACCCTGGGGGGTCTGCCATCCTCAGCCTCCTTACTGCCAGCAGATGAGCGCCCCCAGCCCTAATATGCTGTGACCAGTTCCCAGGGCCTTTCTCCCTTCCTAGTCAGAGATGATTTTTGCTGCAGTCTTTCCTCACTCTCGATCCCTCTCTCCATCTCAGAAGCATATCCAGGAACTGCAGGTTGACCCATCTGGTTCCCCACCAGGCCCCATGAATCTGTCCCTCACCCTCAAGCCCAGGCCCTTCATGGTGGGCAGCAGGGCCCATGCCACCGCAGCCTGCCAAATGGGGCATCTGGTGCTGCAGGAGCTGACGAGGAGTCTAACACACCGCTTAATTCCTGTTGCCCCATCTAGCGCAGCAGCTGGCCCTCCTCCCGCCTAAAGGCCCCCTGTCTCCCAGGACGGTGCCACCTTACCCCCCTTTAACCAACGGACTCCACTACACCTTTGTCTAACACCTTCCAAGTAAGACCCCCTGCCTGGTGTGCCCCTGCCTGCTCCCTGTGCCTCCCTAGCGCTGAGCTCCTCACCTCCCTGCTGTGCTGAAATGATTGCAGTGCCACCTGCTGACGCCTCCTTCCACTGGCAAAGCGGCCGCTGTGGGGACTGTCCTGACTGGTAGGCAGGTGGGAAAGTGATGCTTTTTAGGAACTGAGTCCTCAGTGGCTGTAATACAATAGGGACTGAGCGATACACCCTGCTGCCTCCCTGAAATCTCTAGAACCAGAACTATGCCCCCAACCCTTGCTCTCCTCAGTAGGGCAGCCTGATGCCCAAGAACCAGTGCAGCCCACACTGCCAGCCTCAGGGGACTGGAAGAGTTAGATCTTGGCCTTTCAGGGCTTTGGCCAAAGAAATGGAAGAACTGTAAGATTGGGAAAAGTCCAGTTCTACAGATGAGGAAACTGAGGCCCAGTGAGGGGCCGGGGCTCATTCCAGGTCACAAAGAATTGGTGTCAGTGCAGAGGCTGGGACTGCCCTTTTGGTCACTGGGCACTTTAAGAGGGAGAGAAAGGGAAGCCCAGGGCAACGTGAAATTGGCCGTCAGCCAGGCAGAAAGCTCTGGCACCACCCCTACCAAGCCCTCCCCATGTGGGCATCTAGTGATGAGAGGCAGTGCGGGATGAGGAGGGAGCCCTGCAACAGGAGGCCGGCATCTGGTCCAGTCTCAAGTGAGTTCTTGGCCTGAGCCTGTTGCTTTGGAGCCCATTGGTTCACCTGGACAGGGGAAGGTCAGACTGGTGGTCTGGGCAGTCCTTTCCCTGACATCGCATCCCACTATCATTTTGCAGGGCTTTCCCCTCTCCTTCCTTTACATATACTGTGGTTAACATTGTTGAGTGCCTGCTGTGTGCCAGGCATTGTGCTAAGCATCTCTTTTGATCCACACAACAACCCTATGAAGATATTTCCCCCCATTTTACAGATGAGAAAACAAAAGCTCAGAGACCTTGAGGGATTTGCGCAAGGAATCACAGCTTGTAAGTGCTGGGGTTTGAACCCCTTTGATATGAGTTCAGAGCCTTTGTTCCCCATCACCACTCATGGATTCATCTGGGCCGCCCTGAGCAGCTCTAAGTGTTTGGAGAAAGAAGTGAAAAGAGGGAGAGAGTGTTTGTGCTGCAGGAAACAAAGCATGATTTTTTGTCAGGTGTCCATCCTGGGTGCTCCTCCTGCCTCACAGCAGAGCTAGCAAGTCCCTGCCAGCCTGAGCATGGAAGGACGAGGCCAGCCTCCTTGGGCCAGGTTCTAGGAGGTGTGGAGGAGATGATTGAGGAGCCATAGGGAAGTGCTCTAGCCAGGTCCATTGTGAAGGCCACGGTTGGGGGTGTGGCTTTCTCCTACAGATCTGAGCACAGTAGCAGCGCTCAGGCACAGAGAGGCAGGAGGGAGACTCTGTTCCTACTGGGTTTTGGTGCCCCCATGGCTGAGATCGGCCTTTTATACCCTTTTTGGAGTACTGCATTTCTTCTTACCCTCACAGCATCCTTGTTAAGAAGTGGGTATGACCACCATGTTTTTTAGGTTAGAAAAACAAGGCCCACAGAGGTCAAGAGCGCTACCCACATTCAATGAAGGGCAGGGCCAGACTGCACCCTTATTAGAGTCTTTGCCCTATCAGGATGGGGACCTAATTTAGGGGCCAGCATGTGTCTAGCAGTGGAGTAGGGGTGCAGGGAGGGCGGGGTGAGAGCCCCATGTGTCCTAGAAGCTGAGGGTCCCACAGCGGCGGCCGCATTGCCGGAGCCCCCTGCTCTGCTGCTCTGCCTGTCCGCCTATCTGCCATTCTGTCATGTGTGTGCAGACGTGCCTGTTCCCTGGATGTGAGCAGGGCTCCTGCCAGCTTCTCACTGTCGCCTGTGCTTTTTGCCAGCCCAGGCAGTGACTGACCCGTGACTCAGCACACGAAGGAGAAGCCTGGAGCCAGGGGCCCAGTGGAACCAGCTTCCTCCAAGGAGAAGACCTTTCTGCCCCCAAGGAAACCACTTCCAGCTGAGCAGGGAATCTGGCTGGAGGAAGGAGCAGCTTACTGACTACAGGTGTTCACCACAGACCAGGTCCTAATATGCACCCACTGGTTTAGCTCAGACTCCTCTCTACATATGAATGGCAAAGGCACTTTTGATACACACTGTAAAATACACTGTATTTTAGAATCGGAATCTATTTTCTAATGTTCACCTCAAGGGCTGAGTGGCAGGAAGGGTGAGGATGCAGGACTTTGCAGCTGCACATACAGATTCGGGTACTTTGGGTGACAGGTGTTGGGGGGTGAGAAGGGCGGGGCAAGCAGAGGCTAGTCCAGCTTCCAATGACCTTAGGAGAAAGTGAGATTTGAAGAGGTGTTCCCAGTAGACTCCAGCAAGAGGCTGGTTGGCGTGCTGTCTGGGAGTAGAGGGAACCTTGGCTGCAGAGATCAGCTGTCCCTGACCTGATGACCCGCTCTATGTGAAACTCCACCAGGATCGCACATGGAGCCCAAGTCTGTGCCTTGCCCCTTGGGTTTGGCTTAGGGGCAACAGTGTGTTCAAGAGTACTGGGGCCCACAGGCTTCCCTCAGCAAAGGGCTCTTGTCAGAAAGAAAAAAGCAGTTTGCTTTCTCTCTCTTTTTTTTTTTTTTTTTTTTGAGACAGAGTTTCACTCTTGTTGCCTGGGCTGGAGTGCAGTGGCGCTATCTCGGTTCATCGCAACCTCTGCCTCCCGGGTTCAAGCGATTCTCCTGCCTCAGCCTCCTGAGTAGCTGGGTTCTTACAGGCATGTGCCACCACACCCAGCTAATTTTGTATTTTTAGTAGAGACGAGGTTTCTCCATGTTGGTCAGGCTGGTCTTGAACTCCCGACCTCAGGTTATCCACCCGCCTCGGCCTCCCAAAGTGTTGGGATTACAGGTGTGGGCCACCACGCCTGGCCTGCTTTCATTTTTAACAGTACACATTGAAGTACAGAAAATGTGAGAGGAAGCAACTTTCATTGTATTATAGCAATAAACTCCATACTGGGTGACATCTACCTAGAAATCCCTTCCCTCCAACCAGGCCATGATGGGAACCTTTGCGGCCTGCCCTTGGAGAATCCCGGGTTGGCTTCCCTGGGACTCAGGTCTGGTGGCAGGAGGGCAGCAGTGTGCCCCCACCATCCCTCATGGCCATAATGGCAGGACTTTGATTTGACTTCCAGCCCCACATGAGGAGGGGGGCTACCAAGCCAGGTGCAGTGTTTGTGGCCCTTTATTTAAGTTGTGTTCTTATATTATTCTGCATATAAAAAATGACGTTTAAATGGAAATACAACAACAACAAAAACCTCCATTGGGTGGAGCCACACTTTAAATGAAAATTTCTCTTTGACTATGCTCAGAAAAAAAAATAGAATTTTGAATATATTTAGCAGTTGTTGTCTATTTTTAACTAACTCCATATGCTGCCAGTATCGACTTCATGACATTTGCCAAAATAAAATTTTATTTTTGCCTTTGTAAGATTTTCTTGGAGAAAATGAAATGAATATTTTGCAAGAAAAAGTTAATTTAAAAATGTAATGGTTTGCAAAAAAATGTGATGTACAGATTAAAATATTAACCTGATACGTTTCCTGTTTCTCGCTGGCTATAGTCTCTGGTGAGTGGCCTGTGTACATTTGTTTCCATTTCTTTGGAAAATCCCCACTGTCAGCTCTCGGTCCTGCTTCTATTTACCTATGAAAAGTTTCTTCTGGTGATGGTTCCTTGACATTTGATCGACTGTAGAGGCCTGGAGTGAGGAGGCCTGTGCTTCTGGGCCCCTGGCTAGGCTTCCACAGCTGCTCAAGGCAACCCCCTACCCCATCCCAGTCAAGGAGCCGCTGGGCTGTGGACTCCCTCGTGGGGCCGGTTTTGTCAGACAGACTGCAGTCCAATTCAAGACAGCACAGGGAACGCTGCGGGCCCCCTTCCAACCCACATGCTGCTGGCTCGCTCCTGGGAGGCAGCTTAGTGACGGACCATTGCAAGCTGGATTTGTATTTAATTCATTTTGACTTGTGATGTATGCTCAAAACAGAAGGCAAGAAGCCAGTTCCATTGAGGGGTGTGTATATTTCTGAGCTTGTTGTTATGGCAGTTTTTCTCTACTGCCAAGAAGAGCATCCGAGGTTCATGGTGACTTTCCAACTATTTAAATTGGGGAAAGTAGATTCCAGGGCATTCCGAACAGGGGGTACTGCTGCTTTTTTGGCTACTGAACTCTTTGAATTTTAAAATAAAATGTACTCTTTGGTTTTAAACATTACTTGGAAATGTCACCATAACAGATGAAGTGGGGTGGTGGTGGTGGTGAGAATGATTTCATAACTGAGTGCAAAGCCCCCCGAACCAAAAAAGGAACCACACAGGAGGTAATACCCACTCCACAGGGTGGCCATCTGTAGACATTTTCTCAGTGAAAACATGCCAGTGGTTTTTTTATTTTATTTTTTACTGTTGGTCTCACTTTCTGTCTCACACATACTATCCTGTGTAAGAGGGAATGCGGAACCCCCTCCCTTGCTGCTGGTTTTAGAGTGTGCCGTCAAGGAATAGGGGTACCCTGTTCTACAGGAATTGAGGCCCAGATTTCAATCTACAGAGTGAGGGAGTATGTGACAGGCCCTCAACTTGGAGTCGACGGAGAGTACCATGCTCAGAAAAGGCACACTCCAGCTTCATCCTGCGTAAGCAGGCGATGTGGCCTGGCTTTGAGAGCACTCTCGTTACCCGAGGTAAGATGGGGCCATCTGTGACAGTGCTGGCTGGCCGGTGACACTACAGGGTGGGGAAGACTCTGGGGAATGCCATGTGGCCCTATGATTCCAACTTCCCTTCCTTCCAGGAGACCCCAGGACCTTAACGAGATTGCAGTTGACGAAGGGGATGTGAGCACACTTCTGCATCCGTTTGCTGGTGTCCACTCCTCAATTCTGACTTTAACCCGGGTCTAGGTTGAGCCCTGGATGTCTAGTTATAGCAAGAACCAACAAAAACATTTTAGGATCTAGTATGAAACGGGTTAGGAATAACATCTTTTCCTAATGCCTTCTTGAACCTCCTGAACTGCCAAGATTCTCAACATGTCCAGAATGTCATTCAGATTATTATAATCGTATGTAGGGTTTGTGAGTCCACATGAAGTAGATGTGCCCAGACTAGTGTAGACGATGAGAACAAGTGTTTTGTTTTCTCCATCATTTACTTTTCTGCCTGCCTTGGTGTCTGTGGGAATGTAAGCTGCAGCTAGCCCCTTCCTCTCTCTCTAACCCCTGGGCTGCCTTCAGGGCAGCTGGGTTCTCTAGAATTTTCCTGGTTATTTTAGGTTGCAGGCCGTGGCCAGGGAACCATCTATCTGCCCACAGTTTCATTCCAGGGGCCTAAAGGGGTGGGGGTGGGGTGGAGTAGACCCTGGCTCAGGCTCAGCCAGACAGGAGCCCATTTTGGCTTTGGGAATTTCCCGCAAGGACAGCGGAGGACTCCCTGGCAAGTCCTTTTGTGTTCTTACCAAGGGTGGGAAAGAAGAAGCAAATTATTTGTCTAATCCCCAAATCACATTTCTGAGACGTGGCAGACGAATGCTGGGAGCCCTCTGCTTCCGACACAGCATCAGATGCTGGGGTGTGCAAGGGACTTTGCCCATGTGGGTTGTGCACCGTTATGAAAAGAACAAAGAGACCTGGCTGGGGAAGACATGAAAAATGGCAGAGCCCCTCCCGGCCCGGTAAACACGCCATGGCTTTGCCACCTCCACTCAAAAGGCTACCACTTTCATTGCTCTCCTAGCAAAGAAACCTTTCTTCAGAGCGAGTGGCGGGGTACAAAGGCAGAGTACAAAATGTGCGCACATCACAGTCCCTGCAATTCTGTTTGAACAAGCGTATTGATTGGGTCTGACCCTGTTACATTTTTTCCCTATTATTTGAAAAGGTGCATCTAAGTGTAGTGAATTGAACCAGTGGAGCTGAACTTTCCATGAAAACTTCTCAAGGTATTTCTTTAGTTCAAAGCTTTTGAATTTTAAAGGGCATTTTTAATATGAGTCTGTTGAGTATTCTCTGCCACAGCCCAACAAGGGATGTTAAATGCAGATGAGGTTGGAGCAGGGTGAGGAAGGAAGCGGACCTGCAGGGGAGGGTGTCTACCAGTCCAGGAAGGTCTGGGTTTTGGGGAGAAAGGCTCAGCCCCATGCTTTGGAGCAGCTCATGCAGACCCTAAAAGGGACCTCTCTGAGCACAAGGGCAACTGCTTAGCGATAGGGAAGAGGCTTCACAGCTTAACTTGAAGACTTGAACTGAGAGAGCCAGGAAGCACTTGCTGAGGGCTTCTCCAAAGGAAGAGGGTTTTGTCCTCATGCATAAGGGCCTCATTGCTGTTTACTTTCTCTCATACTCGGCCCTAGAGCTGGGAAGGAAGGTGGGAGGCTGAGTCCCTTGACTGAGCTCACAGACAGACAGGAAGCTGCAGTAACTGTCTGCAGTCACCTACATCCTCCAGCCCCCAGGGGGACCTCACTGATCAGTTGCAGATGCTTTCCCACTGAGCCCTGGGCTGCATCTCAATCCTTAACTGATCTGATGTCTTTGGATTTGGATGTGTTGCTGGTTGTGTGCACCATGGCAGCAGTCCCTTTCGCCATCCTGTCCCAGGACCCTGGAACTGTCCACCAAGTCTCACTCTCCCTACACGGAAGGAGGCTCTCTTTGAGGGCAGTGAGGGTGCACGGCTCCTTTTGACTGAGCTTCTGGCTCATGCTGGTCTGAGTCTCTGTTGCCCCTTGAGGCCTCTTGGGCATGGAAAGCACCTCCTTCCTAGACCCAGAATTCAGGTTCAGAGGCAGAATCATCCCTGGGAGGAGCTGGAAAGTCAGGTCCTGCACCGAGAGAACCCAGGGCTTGGACATCCCAGCGAAGTCCTTTCAGGGTCTTTGCCAAATCTCCAGCCTAGAAGACAGTGGCCTGGAGGAGCACAGTAGGGTCAGAATCACAGTGAAAAGCAGTAGTCTCTGGGTCCCTCTCTGCCCACAACTGTGGGAACATCAGCCCCTGCCCCCAGAGTCCTCTTACCTTGTTCTGGGAGCCCCCAGAGGTGTTCCAATGATCTGAAATCCATTTTCTTGGTTGTCACTTTCAGGACTTTCTGCTGTTACCTGTGTTTCTTGAGGCCACACTGGCTGTTAGGCAAAATAAGGTCCCAGTGACAGTAGTAACTCAGATTTCATGGCCTCTGCCTCCTGCTGCTCACAGAAGTCTGCTGTTGTCTCACCTGGTTATTCCCAGGAGCCCCCAGACTTTCCTCATGTGAACTCACAACTGTCCTCTCAAGTTTACGTTCTTCCACCTGCAGCTACTTGATGCCTACTGGCCATGAAGCCTGGAACAGGCTGGCTCCGTCACTGGGGATATGCTGGTCTCGCTTACTACTTGGCCAAAGTGTGCCCCGGGCATCAGCAGGTCCCAGTAATGGCCACTCATGCTTATAATTTAAGGTCCCAAGCATTAACTAATTTAGAGGAAAACTTGCTCACCAAAAGGTGATAGTCTCCTTGTAAACTGGCAATTGCTTAGAGCACGAGCCTCACAAGATGTGGTGATTTTCATGATCCTTACCAACAAGAGAACTTCTGCAAGGCAATATCTGCTCCCATACACCTTGTTTTGGTAGCCAGCCTGTGGGCTTCTCCGGGGCTTGCTTTTGCTCAGTGCCCAGCTTATCACAGATGCTGACTGTTCGGGAAGGTGAGGTTGGAGTGACCGGGTGTCTACCTCTGCCTCCCACTTCCCCACTTCTCACTATTCTAGGAGAACTGGACCTGGGGCAACAAGGCAGAAACCCAGGGACGGTTCTGATAGATTGAACACATGTGAGCGTATAATGGACACGCTGAGCTTGGCACTGGGTTGGGGGGAGGGGGGAGGGTATGGGAGTGACAATCGTGGTTACACTCCAGCACCTCTTCCACCTCCTAGGAACTCGCCCACCACTGGTGAATCTAGTCCATACCTGAATCTCCACTAGTCGGAATCATTTTTCAGATGGTTATTTTGGATAATAATAATTCTGGTTACATTTAGTGCTGCTTATGTATCAGGCACCTTGTGTTACTCTCTGTGGCAGTTACAGTAACTACAGACAGATAACCATGTGTTCCTCCCCATCATGCTGCCACTTTAGACTCAAGCAAGGCCATATGTCCAGCTCTGGACAGTGGACCACAAGTTGAAGTGAGATGTGTCACATCTGGGCTGAAGCATTTAAGAACCAGTGCACTGTTTCTAGCTTTCTCTTGCCCTGCAGTGGCCACCTAGAAGTCACATGTTTCGGAGAGTGGAACCGCAAGATGCAAACTGACTTGCCCTAACTCTCCACTTTGGAAGGGAACTGCCTGGGAGAGGCCCCAAGATCCACACCTAACTTTGCAGGGGTGAGAAATAAACTTTGATATATTTGTCCCCTGGGACTTAAGGGTTTATTTTCTACCATAGCATAGTCTAGACTTCCCATACTCTAGGTATTATGATTCCCATATTATAGTTGAGAAAACTGAGGCACAATGGTCCCATGACTAGGAATTAGCTGAGTTGAA